GAAGGCGCAGATACTATATAATATATGCAAGATTAAGGCGTAGTCTATGCTTATTTAATAAAGAATATAAAACTATTATAGGTTCTCTATAAGCTTATTAGATAAAAAGATTAATTAGCTAAGTAAAGGCGTATAGCAGATTGCATATAATATAGTATTATTATAGAAGAAATAGGCACGTATACAAAGCGTAATTAATAAGCTTATAAAGCATTAATTAAGAAAATATAAGTATATTTAGATAGAGAAGACTCTAATAGTAGAGAAAGTATAGAACCTAATTACTAAGAGAGTAGATAGAGAGCATAATACTAGCAAAGAGCCTATGCGTAAGATATGCAGCGTAAGGTATTATAGGTATTATAGTAAGAAAGAATATAACTCTTGCACTTATAAAGTAGAGATAAAGAACTCTAAGGATAGTAATAAGTCTAAAGAATAAATTAGCTTACTATAATTTTTAATAAGTATATTATATGTTGCGCAATTATTACATATAGATAGTATACTAGTTTAGCTTTAGCTACTTACTTAGAATAGCTACTTACTTATAAAACACGTTATACTTAAAAGTATTTCTAGAAGCTATTAGTATAGAAGAAGGTCTACGCTTAAATATAAGCCTAAGACTACTAGTCTTAGAAGCTTATTCTTTAATTATAAGTTTTATTATAGTACTACTAAATTTTATTATAGTATTTAGTAATAGATTTATAGCCTATATAGGTGTAAGAGTAGACTAGAATTAGAGCATCTAAGAGTAGAATTAGTACTTAATTTAGTAGAGAAAGAGTAATATCTGCTGAGATTAGTAAGTAGAAGAGTACTCATAAGACTATAGTTAACAACGCTTATAACTACGCTGCATAACTCTAAGCTAAGATAATAATTCTTTAAAATAATAACTATTAGTAGTTACGTAACTAATTACTCTGCTAAGAACTATCGCTTACGTTACTAAGAACTATCGCTAGAAGTAATTATAACTATTATAACTACTACTAGAAAGTTATAACTACTATTACTAGAAGTTACTATAACTATCTTATAAGTATATAACTTAGCTACTATACCTCTATAGTTTAGTGTATTTAACTTTATATAAGATTCTAAGTATTTAATCTAAGAATTATACTTCTTCTTAAAACTCTTTTATAATACTATATTATTCTACTAAACGTGCTATTATACTCTTGTACTATTATATTATTCTACTAAATATACTAGTATATCTACTCTATTCTACCTTGCTTACTTATTTCTAAGAACTAATATCTTAGGCTATCTTTAGATAACCTTTATAAAGAGTACTAATTTAATAGCTTTTATCTAGCGCTTACTACTCTTTCTTCTTAACTTAGTAAAATTCTTTAAGATACTCTTTATAGCTATAGATAGCGCTATAGTCTTTATAGATAATAACTTAGTATGCTAGTAGATAGTGTAGGTAGTTACCTAGAGTCTAAACTTTAGGCGTTAGGCCTTAGAGCTAGCGAGTAGATAGAGCTATTATAGATATATTAGATAGAGTAGAGTAGTAGATAGTGTTAGTCTAAAGACTTACCTAGACACCTATTATAAGATAGCTAAGAAGCGAGGTTAATAACTACGTAATAACTACTATAATACCTACTTTAGCGGCTACGTGTTATAGATTCTATAGCACTTCTTATTTATTAAGAAGTAGCTTACTCTACGGTAATAGAAGAGAAGAGGCTAAGGCAATAAGTAACGTTTTTAAATCTAGCTGCAAAGGCGCTTAGAATCTAAATCTAAGCCTTAACATTTAGCTGCAGGCGCTTGAAATTTAAATCCAAGCCTGTATATTTGGCTGTAGAGGTGCTAAAATCTAACTGCATATAGGCGGCGGTGGCGGCGGCGTGCGCTGCAGTCACGTGAGGAACTTCAAAATCTAGCCCAAAACTTCCCTCAGCTTATAACTTTCTAGCGCAAACAGTTATAAACAAGCTAAGTAGACTGTTAAAATCGCGCAATCATTTTGCACAAAATAGCCTACTCAGATATATCAAAGATCTCTAGACAGCGAGGTTGGAAAGGCTTGGGGCCACTCTCTTGGGGCTACCCCCCCGGGTTTCTTATCGGGCTTATCGCCCTTCACCAAAAATCGCTTGGGGCCAGTAGGCCCAAGTACGTCCTCTCGGATAGGGTATCGGCAGACTTCCAGCGGTGTGCGGATGTGGTAGACTGTAGAACGGTGAGGTCAGGCTGACTGAGCAACGGTAGTTCCGAGAGAGGACATTTTGCAGTGCGGCTGTCGTCTATGTCTTCCATGTTTCTCTCTCTCTCATTCCCCTCCGCGATATGCAACGCCGCAACGTTTACCTCCACCGACCCAATCTCCTCCGTAGTGGGCTTCCGACGACTCTTCGATCTCGTTACCCTTGCATTTCTTCGTTTGTTGTCTCGCATCGTTCTTGTCCGTATCGTAGCGGTCGAACACGATTTTGCCGTGTGGTAGGTGGCTCGCGAATGTCGTGGCGCAGCACCGGCGCGGCCTTTCTCCGACCGGTTACGCGCCGCGAAGACGACCTTCAACCAGTTCTCGATGCTGCGCGAGTCTGAATAACACGATAAGTCTGAATGTTGTGAAGAAGTATCGGAATACGGAGATTGTGTGTCGCATAGGACGTGGGTACTCATTGTGGATGTGTGTGACGATACACTGCACGCAGAAAGGGAGTGTGGACTTGTTAGTGGTTGGCAAGGGCTGGGCTAATACGCTGGTTGCCAGGCACGCGGTGACAAAAAAAGAGCCCACTCCTAAATCTCCTTAGATCGCAGGATCACAGCACCGCGAAAATAGCAAATTAAGATAAGTTTAAATTTTTAAAAGATAGAGCTTAATTAGGAGAAGATTTTATACATACAAGAATATTTTATTCTGTGATATAGTTAGGTAGTAATATAGCGTTGAAAAGAGGAGTTCTTTGTTGTTCGCCAAGTTTGGTGAGGAGACCGGGGCTTGTGAGTGGGCTCTTTTTTTGTAACCGCGTGCCAGGGCAGCGGGCGACTCCCTCAGGGTCTAGCGTGCCCGTGCACCCAACGAGCCAGTGCGGTTAACGAGCCACCCGAATAACAATAGGACTCCAGAAAGATAAGACTGTTCAGCCACGAACAAAAGCGATTATCGTGACATTTCTTGGTGTATCGTCATATAGATGTATTCAAAACTTTCCGCATATTCAAAATGGTTTTGGGCAGTGCGTAGGTAGAGAAGACGTTATAGGTTAGAATTATGTTAATAAAGGGGATCGACAGTACACCACCGAACTTAGGACCGACCGGAACGCAGAGCCCAGCCACTATAATAAAGAGTTAGGTTAGGTAACTTAAGCTTAGTCCGATCGTGTTCGGCCACATTTACTAGTTAATATTGTAAGGGGCTACGCTCAGAGAGCTACTGCACAGGTATACTGAAGTTGTATTCGATAGAGCACTAAGATCTAGGTTACGTAGTGCTTATATACAAATACTACAGGCGGTGAAGGCGGCCTGTCGCCTGAGCGACAATCGGACCGACAGAAGAACCGAGGTCGGAGACGAGGAGAAGAGGAGTTAAGGGCGCAGCCCATCACAAATATAGCCGAGCTTACCACCGCGTCGCTGCAGCCATCTCCTTGCCTTTTTCGCCTCCTCTAGTCAGATGTCTTTCAGTCTCTGCAGCGCGTTAAATTAATAGTACCACTTAGCTATCTGCTTGATACTGTGGTTATTGCCACTAGCGTCTCGCTAATATGTAGCATGTTGACCTTGAACGGCCTAAGCGACGGTACCCCCGTCCCGAGCGAGACTATGAACTTGTCCCTCTCTGCCTTCTCTAGACCGGCTGCACCTAGTACTACGACTCTCGCACGGAAGCGCTCCGTCCACAAACTACAGCAAGACCCCGTGTAACACTACTCGCTAAAGCAAGCGCTCTAACACGCTAACCAGCACGGTTCTTTCATTTGCTTAATGTTATTACTAGGTCTTACTCTAACGCGGTGGTAATACGGCTTTATAATCGAATAATTGTAGCGAGGAAAAGAGGCAGCTGTGTCAACAGCGGTAAATATATATATATACCTGCCTGTTCTCTAAACTGTCTCCATCATTATATCCATCTCACTATCAAAGATCAAGAAACTCTATCAAATCACACCGTCTACCCGCTCGTTTACCCTCTACTCCTACCCAACTATGCGTTCTACAGTTCTCGCCTTTGTTGCTATTTACGCAACTATGGCATCTGCGAAAAATGCTCCTTCGGGTTGCGCTATCAGCTTCGACTACTGCAACGATGGTTCAGATCGTGGTAACGGCTGCGAATTTATATGCCCTATTGGGAATGGCGCTGCTGGTGGCTTGCCGTATGAGGGCGTGTGTCATAGGTATGAATATGTAGGACGATTTAGTTTCAAGGCAGTTCTTTCTAACTATAAGTCTAGGAACTCAGCCGCTATAATCGCTAAGACTGGTGTACGGAATTATTGCAGCTGGCCCTAACGAACTAGTAGCATAGAGAAATTATGCCAATTAGATTTTAGTTTACTACATTATATGCAATGTACTGTTTACACGAATGTTTAGCAGGTCTTATTACAGCTTTAGCTGTCTATAACTTCTACATTTCTTTGTACATACCCCAGTACCGTAGTCCCCCGCCTTGAACTCGCCCAGAAGTTCCGCTGAACTACGCCGGACGCACTCGACGCCTAACTTCAAAGCCAATGTCTCCCTGCACACGGCCTCCAACACCCCGCTACCGCACTCCTCGCCCAGAAGTCCCGCTGAAGTGATGGCAAGAGTCTTTGTTACCAAGGGAGGCGGCAAGAGTCTTTGTTACAAGGGGAGGCGGCAAGAGTCTTTGCTATAGGCTTCCCCTATCTGTAGCTTCCCCCTCTTTAACCAGCAATCAGAAACTCCTGTTAATGTAAGAGTACGTGTCTAATGTGAACCACCCAACAGACCCCTCTCGAAGAAAGAAGCCTCCCATGAGCTCTAGCAGAGCAGTCTGCTCTTTCCCAAAACACACCAAGGCTAGCATGGCAGCCATCCTCCGATGCATATATAAATAAGCTGAGAACTCCGACGCGCGACACCAAGCCGAGCCTCCCATGCGCGGGTGGTTCCTGCCCTAGTGCCGTCGCTGCTTGCCCCTGGCGCCGTCGCTGCTGCCCCCCTCGCCGCGGCCGCTGCCTGCCCCCCAGCCGTTGCCGCCGCCGTCGCCTCCTCTTTGTGCCCTCTTGAAACTACACACTTCTATTAGCCTTCTCCAACATACACACACACACACACACAAACGCTTTAGGTTTAACAGCTTTTGAGCTAGAAGTGAGTTCTTCCTAACAGCACAAAGCGAGACATACTGACTCTCTAAGGGCTCAACACCGAGTTTCCCATCGGTCGGACCTCCAGCAACACAGCAAAGAGAGAGCTCGTCAACAGCTGCGTTGCTGGAGGCTAGCACACCTTCCTCTCGACCAACGCCGGCAGCAAGTCGAGTACTCATCCATCTCGCAAGAGCCCCGTCATCTCACGCCAGCACGCCGTGAGCGGGGAGTGGCCAGTCGAAGACACGCGATGACGGCCCCTCTACAGAATACTCAGCATAGGGAGGTCATGGTGGCACCTCACAACGCCTTTATCGACAGCACTGTCATCTCACGGCTGTTCACAAACGACGGCGACACAATTCCACTATCACACGGTATTGGTCTTGGTCATCCAAACCAACCCCACACGAACCAACAACCAGCGGCACAATAGCCAGGACATGGTGGCTAGTTGTGTTGATCTGCGTGTTGTGCACTGAGGTTGTCTTGCTGCTTGTCATGTTTAATAGGCGCTCAGCTATCCTAAACGGGGTTCTCTATTGCTGCAGAACCTTAACCCTAAATGCAGAGAATAGCGCTGCGCCTGTTAAGCTTCTAGGAGCTAATAGCGCATGTAAATCTACGCTAACTTTGTATAAGCAATAAACTAAAATAAGTACGTTATTGCTAGGTGTTAGGGGGTAGATAGGCTGGGTGTTAGAGGTTAGAATTTCCTCGCGAAAAGCGGGAAACTCTAGCGCTAAGCTACTTTAAGCGAATATAAGGCCTTATACTCTGCCTTATATTAGTTAGGCAAAGAAGTATATATTTATATTTTATTATATTAATATTAGTAAATAATACTCTTTAGTTCTATTATTAGCCTTAGGTAAACGCTAGTAAGAAAGATATTTAAATATTATAGTAAAATATACTAAAGCTAGAAAATAAAAATATATAACTATCTATATTATATATATAGATAAGATCTGCTATACTAGAGTTCTCTAAGAGGTATATTTTCTTAGAATATTAAAGATTAAGAATAGAAGATTTATCTGCTAGCGCTGTAGAAAAAAGTCTGCGTTCTAATAGAGATAAAGCCTAGTTATAGAATAGTTTATAAATTAAGTAGTAAAGCAAAGTTTAAGATAAACTAAAGAGTTAGTAGTCTTCTATAGAACCTAATATAAACTTTAGAAGTAAATTTAAAAGTGCTATAGATATTATATCTAATAAATAGCTATAAGAAAGATTAGTGCTAAAGCATAAATAAGCGCATATAAATATAGAGTATAAGTATAATAGTGCAGTACTTATATACTAAGATATAGTATTAGATATAGCTATCTATGCATCTTAGTTAGATATAGTAAAGTTAAGTATTATTTTAAGTAGTATTAAGTCTGCTTTAAGACTATTATCTATAGATACTTTATATATAGTAGGTTATTATTTATTAGAGATAGAGTTATTATATATAAATAGTATTAGTAGCTTAAGAATAATTTCTATTATTATTTAATCTACTCTAATGCTTAGAGTAGATAAGTTTAGAGATAGAGAAAGAGAAGAGTTAAAGTTATCTAAGATTCTAATCTAAGGTAAGTATAAGTTAGAAGAAGATATATAAGCCTATAATAGAGTATTATAAACTTTCTTTAATAGCGTATCTTAATTAAGAGAGCTCTTAGAGCTTATAGGCTATATATTAAATAACGTAGATATTATACTAGTAAAGAAGTTTAGAGAACTAAGATAAGTAGTAATATTATTTACTTAGCTTATAAAGTCTACTATAGTAGAAGATACTTTAGTTAAAGATATAAGATTATTTATTTATCTAAGAGAAGATATAGATATAGTATTTATATTATATAGAGATATATATATATTAGCACTAAGGCTTAAGAGAGATAAAATAGAGATATAATTATAGACTTAGATATTTATATTAGTAGTAGGTTAATTACGTAATAGTATACTTATTATTATATATATTTATATAAGCGCTATAAGATATTTAATAAGATATATTATTAAAGAAGCTATAAGACTCTACTAAATAGATACGTTGCTTATAGCATAACTTATTATTACTAGTTACTGCTAAACTTTTTTATTATACTTTTACTTTAAGGCGCATTTAGTTTCTAATTACTTTGCTTCTATTACGTACTTACGCAGGCGTTCTATATTAATTATAGAGATAGAAGAGTAGTTATAGAGACTATACGTTAAACTTAATAGTATACCTTTTAGCTAGCGTTAGAATATATAATAGGCGCTATTAAAAGAGAATAATCTTATACTTATACAAGTCTTTATTAACTAGACTTTATATATTTATAAGAATAAAAACTCTTTATATAGCAATAAGAATAAAAATAGTCTATATAGTAATAAGGATAAAAACTCTTTACGCAGTAATAAGAATAAAAACTCTTTATATAGTAATAAGAATAAAAACTCTTTATATAGTAATAAGAATAAAATCTATTTATATAGTAGTAAGGATAAAAACTCTTTATATAGTAATAAGAATAAAAACTATTTATACGTATAGTAGTAAGAATAATAATGCTCTATATAGTAGTAAGAATAAGTATGCTAAGATAAAAACTACGCCTAACTAGGCACGCTAGAATAAAAACTATACCTAATTTAGAAACTTATTTTTTTTAGCTTTATTTTAGCTAGAAATTAATTTTTCTAAGATAATTTTTTTTTAGAAATTTTCTCTAAGTCTATTACACGTACACCTTTTTTCTCTATACTATAGCTCTTAACTTAGCTATATAAAATACTATGCTTATACTTTCTATAAACTACTAATATATACTCTGCTAAATGCTTAAAATACTTACTAGTAACGCTATTCTTAGTTATAGTACCTATACTACAACGCTAATAATAGATAATAATAGATTATAGGTATGCACTAGAGCTATAAATAATAATTAAAATAGTACTATATTAGCTATAGTTAGTCTATTATATACGTCTGTATAGATATATCTTATATTCTATATATAACGTAATAAAATGCATAGTTAATATTAGAGGTTACTAGCTATTATCTTAGAATATCTCTAATTCTAGTTACTTAGTATCTTATAGCTATACTTATATTGCTCTTATCTAGAATATAAAACTCTAATACTATTAACTATACTAGCTGCAAGCTTATAAATTAGGCGTAATATTTAACTTAATACGCTAATTTATATACTTAAATTTAAAGTAAATTAGCCTGCAGAAACTTAACGATACTAGCTTCTAAATATAACGATATAGAGCCTACGTAACTAATTCTATGCTAACAGACAAATATCCTATTACTAATAAATCTAAAACAAAAACAATATAGAGAGCTAAGTGTTATTAGAGCCCTAGGATAGAAATAATTATCTAGACTATAGGATTTAATTTCTTTAATTACAGCTTAAATTAGTTCTATATTAGTAAAGTTATAATGCGTTAAAGTGTAGTAGTTATTAGAGGTTTTAGTGTTAGCTAAGCGTCGCGTTGAGCTGAGCGCCGCACCGCGACCTCGACGTTAGCTTGCATCCTAGGTCTGCTTCCCGCGACAACCAGCAACAACACCACAGGCCAATAACAACACCACGTCCACAGCCACGACTACATGCGCGTATGAAGCTGATACACCCCTAGCTTAGCAACACGACCTTCGACATCTGCTTGCGTTTGCTAAGCTAGCAATCTGCTCCGCCCGCCTTCGTGTAGCCTGGAGTGTTTGCTTCGCCTTTTCAGGCTCTGTGGCCTCGAAGTCCATCGTTTATTTCGCCCACTCTTACACCTACAAGCATCAGCATGGCCTCTGCCAACGTAATAAGCAACTTCGCGCGGGGCCCAAGGGGCTCATTGAAGCATCGATGCGCTCACTGCGGCACTGGAGACACGCACAAACCTCTTCTCATATGCGCCGGCTGCAAAGCCGTGCGCTACTGTACTAAGGACCACCAAATCGAGCACAGGGCACGGCACAAGTGCGCCTGCCGTGCAATCAACAAGTGTCGCAAGAAGCTTGAGGCCGAAGAGGACGGTGTCCGCAACTCAACGGATCCCATGTGGCCTGGCAACTTGTTCGAGCAGAGTTCCGGGCGCTTCTGGGGCGTGCTCCCCACTCGACCATACATGAGAGCTCGATTCGCCTTGTTGAACTCGCTGCGAAGAATGGGAACCTTTGACGGCGTCAAAGAGGGTCATTCTCATCTGATGGACATGATGCGCCTCTGTCGGAGTGACAACATGGGCCTCCGACAAATGATACCAGCCGTGTTGCTTCAGCTGGATCAAGATCAGGAGTGCTACGACTTTATCAAATGGTATGCTACAGTGGGCCAGGATTCGCACTACGACTGGGGCAACATGGACCTGCCATTCCTGGATGTGAAGAACGCCAATGTATACGAAGACCCAAGCTACGTCACTGGCGAATACGGAGACCCTCATCACATCACCGCACTGGTACTGCTTAAGCTCAAGCTCATCCAAGACACCATCAATGTCAGGCTCGTGCGAAAGGTCATTGCGGCTGCGTCTAAACATCTACCCCGAGAGGTTCAGATTTGCATCGAAACTGCTGTGGTCCGCAGCCCATTGTCGACCCACCTTTACAAGCAGAACTCCGTCGACTTGTTGGCCATGGAACTCAAAATCGCCCGCCACGTCAAAATCCTCGGGGCAAAGCTCACAGAAGCCAACCCCTTCGTAATCTCTGGACTTCTCCGACCGGACGAGTGGCTCGATGACCTCCCCGAGTATACTTCAACCGGCTCCGCGGAAGAGATGCAGCTTGTCCTTTACTACGGCTATCCGGCGTGGTTGCAGACACAGGGAGCTCTTGAGTTGCTCGAAAATGCTCGGAAGAACGCCGAAAAGGATTCGGCGGATGAGATCGAAGACACACTGAAACATATACGCCTGCAAGGTGATACAAGGACAGGCGCAGAGCTTCTCGACGACATGAGTCTCAATCGCATCTGGGGCTACTTCGATTGGGCAGTTGAGGACGCGGTCAGTCTGGCGTCTGAACGGCCGTCGGACATACATCGCAGGACCAACAAGGAGATGTGGGACGCACCTGTGAAGGAGGAGGAGGATATGTTCAGCGACAGCGAAGACGATAGTCGGGAGGACGAGGAGGATGCGTTGCACACGAGGGCGATCTTCGCATAACGTGCAAGACCGAGCCGCTACTATATTAAGGTTGACGTAGCTTACTCGCCCTCTTGTTCGTCCAGATACAGCGCCACCGACTCGGCTCTCCAAGGTTGGCTACGTTTCGTTAGCGATTATGATGTCGCTGCCTGCGCGCTACATAAACATAGAGTTTTACGTATGTACGCGGATCGTACCCAGCTCCATATCACAATTGAGCGCAGACTGAATTTCATCAACATCGACAGCACCAAACACTCAAGAAACGGCAAGAAGTGCATCGGAGCGGAAGTGAATAGGACTCTAGCTTTGTAATAAATCAGCGCTGTCAAGAAGCTTCTCTCGAGATGTATTGCTAGCCGTGAGATCCCGTCCAGTAACGAGGGTGAAGTTGATGGGGGTGCTTCTTAGAGTGAGCCTTTGCATGCTGTTCTCGCAGAAACTAGCGTATTAGGACATTAGTAGGACTGCGTAGGAAGAACAATGTCGCGTCGCAACGCTTCTTAACAGGACTGTGGCATAGGGTGTATTTTTACTCATTATCGTACACTAGCTAGAAAGAAGTGCAGTGTATTAGCAGCATAAGACTGCAGAGCTTTAGCTACATGCTACCTAACATAGAGTGCTACAGAGCCCTAGTTGCTCGGGGGCCGGTGCTAGCATGCACGCATCTTAATTGGCCTCTCAAACACCAGAATGTTAGGAGCGCGATCGCTCAAACGTGCGACAACTAACGAGCCGCCTTTGAGCCGATCCATGCAATGCTAGTCGATCTGTCGCTTGCGATGCTCTCCATACCCAGCGATGAGTTGTAGCGCTAGCTGCACACGCCATGGTCTGATCCTTCTCCACGAGCCGAACGGCACCTTGGACGCGGCGGGCAGGAGCCCAAGGAACAGCCGGCGGCACCTACGCGCCCGCGGGTCCGTAAGCGCACCAACAGCCGCCACAGTCAGGTCAGCGCAGTTGATCCTATTGTGATTGCTCATCGCTCGTCGCTGCATGGTCTTGAGTCGACCCTTGTTCACTCAATTATCGCTGCACTGCGCCTCACAGCTCGGTAGCTTCGTATGCGCGCCGCTGTTACCTTGCATACTGCAGTCACGCACGGACACCGGCAGTCGAGATAAACAAGTGCGCGCACCACTGATCACCACAACACTGCCTGGAGGTTTGCTATCCCCTCCAAAAAAATTGATTAAGCCACCATTGCGCGGATGCCGTCGTAGCATATCAGTGCATTCATTGTGAGTTGGGAGCTGCACACTCTTGACTTCTTGGAGCGATTTACCAAAAGATCGCCAAAGTTACGGGACTGCGCAGAGTATGTCGGCCACATCGCGATCATGGTCTCCGAAAAGGTCTTTCACAGCCGTGAACAGCTCGTCGTGGATAGCTCGCGCAGCAGGCCATCAGCACCCTCCACTGCTTCGCATAGATCAGCCGAGCGATCATGAACAAGGATCAAACGCCGATCAGCAATACAATGGTGGCAAGGAGATGCACGACCCACCGCCCATCGGGACAGGCCACGATAACATGCCAGCAAAGCCAGCTCCATATTCGTCTACGGGCGAGGTAAATGGAGTCGAGGCAAGAAGCTTGACGGACGCTGGCCAAACGGCCGTGCAGTCCGACCCTAAGAAAAGGAAAAGGCAGTTTGCCCATCGAACCAAAACTGGCTGCAGAACGTGTCGAAGGCGGAAGAAGAAATGCGATGAAAGGAGGCCCGCATGTATGTTGACGTTCGCGGTAATGCATAAGAATGAGAACAGCTTGGCTAATACTCAACGTAGGTAGCAACTGCACTAATAATAATCTCTTGTGCGAAGGCTATGCTAGCAAGGTCTCATGGCAAGAGAAACATGCAAGAAAACCTCCATCTCCATTGCAGGCTCGGGAGCAAAGAGCTCATGAACCGACTGAGGTCCATCATGGATATTCCGGGCGCAATCAGGCCTCCATACCGCATTGCGCATCCACGCACAGCAACGACCAGCTGTTCCCCGATTCCCGTGTAGCCGATCCCCTAGTCGTTGAAGAGCACAAGTATCGATCACCTATGCCCACCAGCTGGAGCGAGCCCGCGCGGGTTTCTGATTTCAGATGTTCGGCGCCCGTACCTGCGCAGTGTTCTCAGTCATCAATGCCTATCCTTGACAGAACGCTGTCGCACCGGTATGTTGTATCTGCATCACTGGTACCCCCTCCACGAACAAGCATCGGCCAAGTGTACGACTATACGTTCCCGCGCATCAGCGCGACCACCAATCACACACTGGCCGCAGCAGATAGTCCTCGTCAGACGCCACAACAGCTCCCCCAAACTCAAACAGTGCAACCAATTTTTACACCGCAGCCTTACTATCTACCACAGTCACAGGTACACAAGACCGAGAGAGAGAAAATGTTGAACGGCGAGCCTTTCTTGCAACACGACGAGCAACTGACAAAAGAGCGCGCACATTGCACAGCAGCTGTCTACACTTTCAACAACACGGCGAGTGCGTCCGGTGACCTTGCGCGAGGCTATCTAGAGCGGAACTTCTGGCGCATTGTATCGGCAACATGGATGCGTCCACATTATACATACCGTCGTCCAGATGTCCATGGTGATGATCATTTCGGTAGCAGTGTGAATGTTGCAACACCCTTCTATTGTGATTATGGCTACAACATCTCCGTTGGCGACAACGTCACGATTGGATCTAGCTGCAAGCTGCTTGACTCCGCCAAGATCATTATCGGCAGGAACACCAGAATTGGTGCTAGTGTCATCATCTCAACGCTGAAAACCCCGACGGACACGAAAAGTTTGAAAGGCAGCTGCGGCACTGAGATCGCTCAAAGAGTCTCCGTTGGCGAGAATGTTTGTATTGGCGATGGTGTCACTATTGAAGCTGGGGTAAGGATAGGCAACGATGCAATCATTCTAGCTGGATCAGTAGTTGTTGGCGTTAGTGACCTATCCAGATTGTGTGATGGAGTAGACTGACCGCGTTCAGGATATTAAAGACGGTGTCACCGCGCGCGGTAATCCGGCATTTGGCTGAATGCTCCTCGACATATGTACGATGTTCGGCGAAGAGCTTTTTGTTTGACGGCGTCATGCAGCCAATACGTGCGAAAGTCGTTGCTAGCCATATTGAATTCCTCTCGTACTCTGACCATCGTAGACGAATGCACCTGTGTTGTGGGAGATAACCGACCGTCTACGAGAGCGAATACTGGTGTACAGTAGTCCCCAGGTTCTGACAGAGATCTGGTAGGATTGCCCCAATTTGTAAAGTGTTACCTGCATTGCTTCGTCTGAGGCAAAGTCAAGTCATTACCTTATCTACATGTAGTTGTTCCGCGCATCTCAAGACAACCTTAGCTAGATAAACACACAGCAATATATCAACGTGCGCTGCAGGCCGATGCAGTAGATGACTGCAGAAGCTAGCAGGGCTTTAGTCGATATGCAGAGGTACTTGCGAACAGTGAATGTGTTCCCATGGCTCTCTTCCAAAAGCATAATGATCCTGGTCTCGAAACAAGGCTTCATGAGTCAAATTAGAGTACTAGACGACCCTTTTTGATCGGGAAGTCACATCTAGCAGACTTTCATAGCAAATAATCTAGGTTGAAAAGATGTTGACATCTCTGCTTCATCTGCCTCTTGAATTGCTCTATCTTGTCTCTCACCAATCTACCTCGCCAGCAGACGTCAATACTATAGCGCGCTATAACAGACAGCTATACGAATTGCTCAATGCGTTCTAATACCGTAGCAACATGCAAAGTTGCGACAGCTCCGCTTTGATGTGGGCTGTAGAGCACTGCCGATCACGAACAGCCCGGAAGGTCTTCGAAACATGCGGGGACCTCGGGCCAACAGCACAACATCTTCATGAAGCATTAGTCCTAGCCGTGAAAAGCTATTTCTAGGAAGTCATGAGAGTGCTGATCACCAACAGTGCAGATGTCAACACGCGACGGGGGCTTGGGCACATTCTTCAAGCGATTTCATGGAAGGGTGATGCAGATTTGTGCGAGTACTTCTCGACGATGGCGCTGATGTTAATGCGCAAGCCTGACAGTATAAAAGCGCACTTGCGGCAGCAGCTAATCGCGCCCACGAAGATATTGCTCGGCTGCTCATCAACCAAGGTGCCGATGTAACTGCTCAGTTTGGTAGCCAGGCCAATGCCTTGCAGGCAGCCTCGTCAGCAGGCCATCTAAGCATGGTCAAGCTTTTGATTCACCATGGCGCTTTGATCGACGTACCAGGCGGTTTTTATGGCAGCGCAGTCCAGGCTGCCTACTGGAAAGGTATCGAGCAAGTTGTGGAGGCTCCACTTTAAGCTAGCGCAAATCCTGGTATACAAGGAAGGAAATGCGATAGTGCGTTTGTAGTGGCATTGGAACGCAGAAATCTCACAACATGTAGATCATTGTGTATTTGGGCTATCGATAACATGCTGTTGAGATCGAGGCTGATCGCATGCTCGTAGAGTGAAGGTTTCGGGTAAGAGAGGCTGAGAATTCGGAAATGGAATGAACTAGTACCACTCCTTTACGACAGCCATCTAGCCTGGTAATGGTGCACGTTTCTTAGCAGTAATTTTGGTCCGTCTTGTTTTTGCTTAGACGCAATCACCAGACATACCATTCTCTCACGGCCCCAAGTTAGTAGCCGACGATAGGTTTGCTTCATCAGAGCAGAGAAGATTAAAATTCACAACACGAGCCACTCGTCCGATGAACCACCGTAAGTTGAAGTCATATCATCTCGACTCCGCACATGTCAAACCGCCTCCAAGCACAATTTTTGTAGATATGCAGGAAGCTCGCTTTGGCTCTGCATGCTGGAAGTGCACTGATATCATCGACAAGTTTAAGCATATCCATGATCACTCGACGATGCGTCAGAGTGATGAATTCGCCCTAGGGATTTTTTCTTCTAATCGCATTATTACATGGACGACGTTAATTTAGGCGGTCGTTATCTTTTACACCAATATACTATCCCCACGGTCCTTTCAGACCTTGGCACAAAGCTCCATCCTCAATTACTGTGACATACAGGTACATCCCGTTCGATGGCCTTCCTCATTCCTCGCATAAACACATGATAAGAAGTTGCCGACGTCTAGCATGGCCCCAGTTTAGATCAACGCTTCTTGGAGTGTTAGACTTAGCTCCAGAGCTTGAGATAATTCATGAGAGCTCAACGAAAGGCTCAATCAGCTTCGAAGTTCCCCCCACCAAGAGTGCACCCGTTGATTTCGTCAGTGAGGCGCAACTCACAGTCTTCGCTCCTTAGTGTCCAGCCACTGCGGCCTTTCCAAGCAACCCAGAACTCTACCTTGTTCTTAGACAACTTGAGGGAACGGTTTTTGGTTTGGCTCTCCGTGAAGTCACCGGCCAAGTCATGCGCGCAGAAGTCGTTGACGGCTATACCTGCGCCAGTCATGCTCTGGCCATACATGCCAGTCGTTATGCCGTAGCAATCAGCTCGCACAAGGGCGATCACTGTAGTCACTGCCAGAAGATCTCGCAGGCGCATAATGGATAATGTTGGATGGCTTTAGGAGTGCATTTTCGAGCCAGAAGACCATTTTGTAAGCAACAGGATCCGTCATCGGAGCTGCCATGTCAGCAGAAGGTGTAGTTGAGGATACAGCGAAGTTAATTACACTAGTGAAGAGCCCCCGACGTAGTAAACAACTCGGTGTACAAGAGGACAATGACCTGTCAGCTTTGGGAACACGATCCGAGGCTTCTGCGTGCAGGCATCGCGAATCACTACAAATGCCTGACATCTGCCCGCTGTATACTGTATGGGTCCCGTAGCCACGATACTGACATGCTTATCGCTAAGTCGTCAGCTCCGGTATTGAAGGGTCACAATCTGAGCTACATAACCAGTGAGAATCTCTTTCTTACTCACGCAAAACACTTCTTGCATCCGGAGTTCATCGCATTGGCCAGGTCGAACATGACTACGAAGGAACCTTTGTGCAGATACCACACGGCTGTCGCAGCGGGGAGCAAGCCCAAGTCCGCAGTATCAACCGTATTGGGGCCACGCCGATCTTCTTGTTCAGCAGCGATGGGCATCTCCGATGCATTGGAACAGGCTGGAATAGAACGCCGAGCCATATGCGCTGCGGCGACATTGCAATGGTCTGGCGAGGCGAGCCTTTCTTCTACGCTCTCTAAGGTGAGATCGTGGCACATCGGTTTGACGTCAAAGAGACCCTTCAGATTTTTGTCACGATGTCAGAGACGCCAGTTCAGTACTAGCTGTGTGAAACATCTCTCGAGAGCGTCCACCGTCCACCGTTACGCTACGGTATGGACATGGGCAGATTGTTTGACAATCCACATGGATTCCAGCGTGTTCACGCTGTATCTCGAAATGGAGAAGTCGTATTCATCGACGATGGGGTTTTCTTCGTCGTCAGTCCGATGAGGGGATAGGCCAAACCGACATACTTTTCGCTGCGAACACTGCCGTGAAAAAGCGCTATGGGCATTTTGCCTTTTTCTGACACCTTTCTGGTCCATGGTGCAATATCTGGGCCGACAGCACTACAGGCTTCCATCGCAAAATGCGACAATGGCAGATGGGAAAGCTGCATGTCTTACGTCATGGACGTACAGGATGAAGAACAGGTCTCATCGCTTCTCGCGGGTTCAGTCGTCTAAGACTCAAAGGAGATCACGATAGTGTGATCTTCAAGCTATTTTCTGAAGACAATTCAGGAGAAGAAGAACGATATTGTACGCTGATGCCTATGTTTGCTAATGTTAGAATTGAGTCTCTGGTCAATGGAGACTCGACTGGCTCCGTAGTAGAGTACACAGAAGGATTCAGATGCACCAAGTCATGTTCTGTCTCGAAGAGGCATTTCCCGGTCCATAGCTCGACTAGAATGCAGCCTATACTCCAGATGTCGATCACCCGGCGAAGTTTGGCGGCGTCATGAAGGAGATTCTCGCCCAATCTGGGCGCAACGTGAAGAACATTGTAAGTGTTGCCACGAACTTCCGAGACAGACTTGAGACAGAGCAATGCAATCACCATTTGTGGCTACAAGCTCGATGGAGCTAGTGATAGAGTTAGTGAGTGAGATAATGGATCGTTTAGAGGAACGATTTCATGTAATATAATTGAGTAACTGAACTAACTTGATCAACTTAGTCAAGATGAATGCATTCCTGTGCTTGGCAGATTGTGGCGCGGGTATGATGATCTCCACTTGTGCTGTTCAGCAGCAGATCGGCGCGAAGGCTGTGGACCTAAGAGCCACAAGACATCCACGTGCCCGTTTCCACTGCGCTGGAGCGCAAGGCGCACCGTCTAAGGGCTGCTGCTCTTAACATTACACCAAACGCTCGATGCCAAACGCTCGCGCAGCGTCAACTCGGTATCGATATGATGGATCAAGGCGAAGCGCTGCTACGCCGAGCACGAAGACGCCCCAGCACTGCGGCTGCCTTGGCCTCTAATCTCAGCGCAACCATTTCCCCGTCATCGCGGGCAGCGCCAAGCGTCGCCCCTCACTTCCCTGCGCCGGCTGCCTCTCACACCCTTACGACGCGGACACGCATCTATATGATGACGAAACGAGTTTCTATCATGCGTCAACTACTGATATCGCTGGTCCTCCATCGTTCTCGAGGCGGGTGTAGATTGGTTCGTCATCAGAGCTGTCTGACATACACCAGCGACTCGAACTATCATATGCAAACAACGATGTGTAACGTTAGATCACACAACCGCCTCCTCAGTGTAGATGTATTTCAATGTCAAGACACTTGGGCGCGAGATCAGATCCCACTGTCATCAGCTTCGGGTCTGTGGACAGAGACACAAATTCTGGACTGGGTGACATGCTGACAATGGGGTTGAGAATGCATAGTCATCTCCCTGGTGGAAAACCACAATGGGGACGATCCATAGCGAGATGGGAAAGAACAAGGTCGATGACAGACACGGCTGACTTTCAGCGCTATAAGAGAGTACTGCTATATATAAACCTCAATTAACCTTGCATCAGATCACTATTGCGTGTGCAGAAGGTTGCATTAGCTACACAGACCGGGTTCACGTCATCTCACTAGGACCGGATGTGGACCATGGAGCCTAGCATAGGGGAGGCCTTAAAGTGCTTCAGCAGATGGACGAAGCATCCCAGATCAAGGACGGAGAGAGGTATAGCGCATGCACGAACATCTGATGTAATTCACACAAGTTGGTGAGCGAGCAAGACGGTGTTATTATTGCGAAAGAAGGAAACAGAGATCTTGCGCATCCCGGATCGAAGATTAAAACAATTATCCTTCATCCCACAAGAACGTATTTTTTGATGCTTAATCCCGGGTGCGAGTCTAGTTTGGTTCTGCGCGATCATGTTACAAAGCTCGACAAGATTAGCAAGGATGCAGCGGTAGAAAAAGGCAAGTCTGAGAGAGGTCTTGTGAAAGTGTTGAGATCCAACGTGTATAGGAACACCAGAGTGATATGGCGACTCAAATTTAGGGACAAGGAACATGTCTTCAACTGTGGTGGGCTCAAGCATGATGAGATCTGCAGAAAGCTCAATATCGCATCTTTCTGTGAGCTTATATGCGCAGAGCAGTCGTCACAAGCTAACTCAACGCCTGCTCTATCGCTCTATCACGAAACGCTGAGCAGCGAAGAGCCTGTTGAGCCTAACAAGCAACGGCAGGTCGCGACAAGTTTTGAGAAGGAGTTGGCAATCCACGACGAGCGGCTAGACTGCGTTACTGGAACAAGAAAAGTCATCGTCGCGAAGACCACAGCGTACTGAGAATGCACAGCGTGTAGTACGCACCAGATCAAGACAAGGTGAGTATATCTAACGGAGCTGCCATAGCTGTGCAGTGTGAGCATCTTGAGAGCGAGCCCCGTAGCTGTAAAGTTTTCTCGCCTAATTCGCAGCTCCTAATGCTACTCCGTCTCATAGAAAAAGGCATAGAAGCTTTCAGACCCGGCGATTCAAGACTAGATACTGGATACGTAGCTTGCAAACCTGGTATTTGGCTGTGCGAGATGCAACACCGCGCCATTGAGCTCCGCTGTAATGACATCAACGGAATGAGTATGTTCTGCCATCTCCCTATCAAGTACATCAACAGTAAGATGCGACACGCAAACACTGCGCTTTCGCGATTGCTGCGATCTGCGCCTCAGCGGATGAATGCGAGCAGGGCAATGCGCTGGCGAGAAGGGATCTATGCGAAGCGTATAGCAAGTGAGAGTTAGGTTTTCACCGGCTGTGCCCTCCTCGTTGCTCAGAAGTAGTTGCATCTCCAGAGAGAATTCAGATTAGAGGAGACATTTACGCGTGAGGCACGGAATCCACACACGCTGAGGCTCTTATAAGGCACACGACAACTACACACAATGAACAGGGAGACAACATCTGCAAGTCTCCCATAAACATTAGCGGTTCCCTGTACACCGATAACTCGCAAACCAATCGCTGGACGCGCCAAGATACACGAGGCCATGCTGGCCGCAACGTCAAGTCGAGCTTAGTAGGCATCAAGAATATAGTGTTCGTCGTCGGCCCTGTGATTGGCATGATCTAATCTCGAGGTAGCTGGCCACTGCCTCTATAGGATCACGGCAAAACGCGCTCGCACCACCGTCAAAGCTAAGAGTCGCAATGGTAGCTACGCTTTGAGACGTACTAGAGACTTGCCAAGTCGGATGTAACATGCTAGAAGTGAAGTAATGAAAGTAGCTAATTAGGTCAACTTAACTTGGTTATCTTCAGAAAGGTCCTTCCAACGATAATATCAACCAGGTCTACCTGATATTTTCGCTGTATTGTGTGAAACTGACAGTAGACGGAGAGCCACAATCTAATTTCTCTGCATCTCCTAACCTGTTCGAGCTCATATGCTCCCCGCTATTAAACCACATGAGCACTAGTCAGCGCGGTAGAAGGACTTCCAACTACAACTTGCTTCGTCAGCAACGTCAGCCAGGCATACAGTGCACAACATCGCTCAAAACATGAGCTTCTCTACGAACTTTCCGACTTGAGCGAGATGATCAGCAAACACACAGCCTTAACACATGCAATGGTATTCTCTGGGTCCTATGATCTGGATACCTCTACAGACATCTAATGCCTATTCCAGCATGCAACGTCTCATATGCAAGACTTTTCGCGGCTCTGATCTCAGCCCCACGTGCGTCGTAAACACGTCAGTGCAAGCACCTATAACACCACTCAGAAGTCTAGCGAAGCTGAAACTATATGCAATAGTAGGTAGTACTTGTTCGTCAATTCATAAGGGTATTGCTTCGTGCCCAACGACGATATCAGCGTGCTGCCAAGCGCTGCACCGCAAATACTTCAGGACACCCGCAGTATCTAGGGCTTTGAAGACAATGTTCAAAGAGTCACAGCTGCAATAGAGTTAAGTGTCGATGCAGGAACAGCGTCGCTACTAATATGCGGCGGAACAAGGTTGCTAACTCTAAAATTTTATGCGCACTGAAGACGGCGAAGTGTCTTAAGCAAAACAAGACCACGCTAAAATAGAGCAACAATGCAGCCTTCCTCAGTTCAGGCAAGCGCGTAGTCTTCTCACAGGCTGTCAGTGCCTTTACAGCAGGTTGCGCGGCTTAGATATATGTAGCCAACTCTACATAAGATTGCGCGTGGGGTGCTCTGCATGTGCAGATTTGAGAATTCATTCACAAAGGTTGGTCCGCAAACGATTATACCGTCTCGCTCCCTACAGTGTCGTTGGCTCGTGGTTCTCGTGAAATAAATAACAAGGTAGGCAGGTCGATCAGTAATCCTACGTCCTATGACGACTGACATAGCTCAACGCGATAAGGAGGAGTAACTAATAGTTAGATAGAGCGTGGGATTGCAAACTGTCTAAGCAGAATCTCACGATTATGCGTAATTGCACAACAATACTATATACATCAAATAATGCATATTTGCAACTTCTCCTGCAGTACTGGCATAAGCAAAAAACTACAAATAAAGTAACATGCCTGGATAATAGCCTTCTCGTCCAAAATCAAGTTATGAAGGTAGTAGTTCCAAGAACAGTACACTGGACTCTATTAATCTTCAAACCTTGTTTCAAGTCGCTCATACGATGCTTTGCCGGTTAACACGGTCACTTAGAAGATGAAGCAGAGGTTGTGCTCGTCACAAACCGCAACAGCATCAACCGTGCTTCTCATGACATGGTGACCACTGATCAGTTCGCTCCCTGCGATATCTCTACATCCTTCGACCTCTAGACCACGTTGGGACAACCAGCAACGGCCTTCAATGGAAACGTGGACTTGCCATATGCAGAAGTTTTGCCCAAAGACATTCATAAGAACTTGTCTCTCTTGAAAAATTCAGAGGACGCCTTTCCATTCTCCAACAATTTATAAAAGACTTGAAGTACTATCATGCTGTCCGGCCCCCAATCAGCCCTGATACTTTTCTTACGTTCAGACTTATCTACGCTCAACCACAATAACCAGCACACACTGCCAGGATGTCTGCTCCAACGTGGTGTTATGAAATTATAACATGCATTCATCATTTGTATTTGCAAAAGCTTTATTCGTGCTCATGTGCTCTTGTCGAAGGACGTTCAAATGCTAGAAGCAATGACATGAATTCAATCTTAAATTGCAGCCTATCCTTCAGCGTACTATGTAACCTGAGGTGGGGCCGGGTACACTTCATTGATAGCTCTGGCGATTGCTTTGCACATATGATCGTGCGGCTTCGCTTGGGCCTCTTCTGAGAACATGTCTGCCGCCCATATTGGACTTCTCTCGTTAACGAAGAAACCCGTGCGGGGCTAGTTAATTCCAATATCCAGCCGGCATCCGATTAAGAGTGATCTTAGAGATTTTTTTTGGCGGCTAGTAGGTGGCGATAGACCTGCAGTGCATAATCGGTGAGCGTTTTTGGCGTCAAGTGAGGGTAGTCATCACATGTATCGTTCTCTCCCACGGACGCTACATGAAGATATCGCTCCTTTCCATATTCCACCCAGCTTGTTTTGATGACACCTTGGACCTTCAAATCTCTCTCTAGTGTGGAAGGGGATGATGCAGTTGTGGTGACGAAAACCCGAAACTCCCTAAACCTCTCAAGAGATGGTACATACACTTGATGGACTTTATATCTTTTGAACGGGACGTCGGAGCTGATGAACTCATGAGGTCCAGGCTTTTCGCCACCAACGAATGCTTCGAAGCCAGTATTGTCAGCCGTGTACGTTTCCTTCGTAACGGTGTCTTGAACGTCAGCCAACGCACACTTTGTCTCTATTTTGAAATTGGCAAAACACGTCTTTGGACGCCAAGTCCCCATGTAACTAGCAACTTCATCCAGAGTCTTAATATCTGGCATTCGATGCCTGTCCGCTTCCCATTCGATCCGAGGTGGCATCATCTCACTGTTCTGGTCACAATACATCTCAAGAACCAGCCCCAACTCTGTATAAATCCGATTTACGTGCTCGGGACTAGGACTACCGTTCACATTCAGCAATACAAGCCAAGTCTCTGATTTCTTGCCTTTTTCCACGATACGCCGCTGAGCTTCGGGCAAGCCGGCCGCATATTGTACGCAACGTCGATATTTGTGGCGAAGTACTTCAGCAACTACCAATGATTGGTGTAGATACGCTGTGGTGCGTCGATTTTGCCTTCTGTCTGAACTGCAAGATGACAGGTGTTTTGAGTAGAGCTCTTTGAACATGTTCATGTTTGACTTCTCAAACCAGCGAGGAACCAAGGTGCCGTGGGCTTCAGAATCTAGCGGGACTCGACAAGGTAAGTGGGCGTTTCCTTCAATGGCTTCGGTCTTCTCAATCATTGCTGGCACATACAAGATGTGATGAAAGCACTGCTGGCTTTGAGGAGGTTGTCTAGGTTGTCCACGCAGCATCGGAGCCGGGTGCGAATCTGAAGCTTTTCTTATCTTCGCTAGCCTCCCTTTTGCGAGATTGTGATACTTTTTCTGTAGCCTCTTCTCGGCGAGACCTGCCCACCATCTCTTCTCGGGGTCGGCCTCGCGCGAGGAAAAGACCGCGCGAAACTCTGGCACCGCGCCCAGACCGATTTCGTGGGCATCTCCATTGTTGCGAACTCCTACATATCGCATGTACCAGCTTTTGAACGTTGATTGCGAAACACCAAACCCCCTGGCGAAATACCACTCAGGCCACTTCCTGGATGAGGTTGGATCCAAGGGCTTGTAGGTTTTTTGGGAGAAAAATTCGCCGTCCGATACCGTCCGCAAACTTTCGAAAGGTCTTTCGGCCATTGTATGTCAAATACGGAACGTTTTGTTCGACATGAGAGGGAGAATATGCGGCCTGAAAAGCCTGAAAAGCCTGAAAAGCCTAAGGGTCTGTGCAGTCTGTGTGACCTACGCGTGGCTTGCGCGGCACAATCACGCGTCATCCGTGTGACGGTACACGCTCGCGTCGCATGCACGCACAAACAACGTTTAGTTCACCAGACTTCAACCACAGCCTCTTATTGCAGCGACTTCCTATCAATCTTTGTGCTTATTCTCTGTGGGTTCCGCAGCTGACTGCTTTCACTTGCGCCACATGCCCCGCCCCTTACCAACATGAACACGGCTTGACCCCCTATAAACGTGTCCATGTCTCAGAATTGGAGAGACGCCATGGAACCATACGAAAAGCAACCGAAGAAGCTTAAAAGGGCGTTCAACGTCGAGCAAGATCGATCTTATGACATCTTCGACTCCAAGAAACGCGCGTGGCGAATCAAGGAAAGAGCACCAGAGGGGAAGGTAAAGAAATGGGCGACCCTTGATGTAATCCCTAGCCTAAGTGTTACCCACGGAGACGAGTTCAAGCTATATGACATTGTTTGGCATACGCTACCGTCTCAAGACGGCAGACACAACATACCAGACCCCGTCGTTTTGATGGAGCTTCGCCAGGCAAAGGAAGATAAGTCATGGGTATACATAGTTTGTCTCTACTTCGAGAAGGTAGATTCAGGAACATATCTACTCTCTAACCACTGGGAAGTCCGGTCATACGAGTTCTTCTCCCAGGACAAGAAACTCGCCAACAAACTGCTGGTCAAGATTGACTGGAGCCGATTCTTCGATTTCAGAGACAAGAGAATTCGAAAGGTCATTAAGTGCAAGAAAATGCAACGCATCATTCAAGATGTACGGTATAAGACATGTCGGCTCTTCTTCTGCTAACAAATGCTCTTACTAGCTGCAGCCACGCCTGAATAAGATAGAGGGTAGCGTGAACCCACGCAAGCGCAAGTGGACGAACGGACGCGATCCGACGAACGATCTAATAGTACGCTACACTCGCCGAATGATTGATCGCCGCTAACATGTATCCTCTTGAAGATGCACACACATTCCTGGACCTAATATACGAAGAGAAGGAGAATTCAGATCTATATCCAGCACGTACATCGCGGAAAATGACAACCCTGAGAATGACAGCAGTATCGCAGTGCCAGGGGCCGACCTCACAGAGCGATGTGGGTGCTGCATGCGCTTGCTGGTTCTTGTGCTAACCCATGTGTAGACGAGATCAAGAAGATGCTTGGTGAGGGTGCATTTGGCAAGGTCTTTCAAGCGTACGATAGGACCGAGAAGACCCCATGCGCCATCAAGGTCATCAGATCAGTGCCAGAAGACGAAGATGCAATTCGCAACGAGCTGGAAGTTCTACAGACCCTGGCATCGAACGACAAACATAACACTTACCAATGTATTCATATGCGGGATTATTTCCATTTTCGAAACCACACCTGCATAGTCACCGACCTCTACGGCAAGAGTATGTTCGCCTTTCAGGAGTCAAATAGCTTCGTACCATTCCCAGCATTACACATTCAGGAGTTTAGTAGACAGCTATTCACCAGCGTTGCTTTTCTGCATGATCTACGCATCGTCCACGCCGATCTGAAGCCGGATAACATCCTCCTAGTAAATGATAATTACGAGATGTTCCCGTACAATGGTACAGTACAACCGTCATCAGCTACTGCGGACTGCAGTGTGACAACTCGGAAAGTGCTCCATGACACAGAAATTCGAATCATTGATTTCGGATCAGCCTTCTGCTATGATTCACACAATCCGGATATCTTCACCCCTCAGTATCGCTCGCCAGAGCATATCCTCAACGTCGACTGGAGCTTCCCTCATGACATCTGGAGTATAGGCTGCATTCTAGTCGAGCTATGGACCGGGAAATGCCTATTCGAGACAGAAGATGACTTGGTGCATCTGGCAATGATGGAGACTATGTGGGGGAAGGAGCTTGACAGGGAGCTGATAGACCAGTGTTCCGCGGATTCGCAAGTTATCCCGAATCGTCTGGTTCACTCACTGACGCATCGCTAATCGTCTATAGGGCTACAAGATACTTGAAGGACGACAAGCTTAACTATGCGAAGGAGTCAAAAGGCAGCTTGAACGGAATGAAGAAGCTTTGTGTTTGTACTTCTGCTCTCTTGCTATACCGTATCTGATGTGTATAGGATCTTGTTCCAGCTCAAACCGATGTCGATCGCGAATTTCTCAGTTTGCTAGAGAGGATATTCGTGTGTAACCCTAAAAAACGCATAACTGCGCAGCAGGCGTTGCAACATCCATGGTTCAGGGTATCGCTTACAGACAATGGTATCATAGCCTAGAATGTCCGCGTTGAGAGTCTCAAACGATAGCTCATCCATGCGCTAGTGCAAAGGATGACTGTGTGCAGACGTCCTTCTATAGCATAGACATGGCTTCTGAATATCGAATGCGGTGTAAAGACTGAAATCCGTACGCGCTACCCATATGTACCCTCTGTTTCTGAGTTCTTCAAGATCCTTACACAATAGCCAGGATTCTTTCGACAGTTCTCACCTGTGCTACCTTGGCGTTTAAAATAATAGTCATAAGACAACCACCCCTCTGACAACGTCTGTATCTTCACTTTGAGATACAAACATGGATAAATCAAGCGTAAAACTTTAAACTTTTCAAATAAGTGGATAGGGTCACAATAGCAGCCCCTCTAAACGTTGTTCAATAACCTGCATACCCACAACGCCGCTTACCAGTAGACAGAAAGACACACCCCGAGTTCTTCATGCTTGTTTACTATTCATGACAAGTTTCCATACCAAGATAAGCACCACAAAGCTCCGTATGCCCTACTGATATTAGTATAGCTCCCGGTAAATAGGTATTGCATTTTGTTGACACGTAAGCAGATATTTGGATCATTGTCGCAACACTCAGCCAGGAATGCAGCCTGCTGGCTTCATAGACACCTCCGTACGGTACGTCGCAGCGGAGGATATCTTCACCGGTCCATTGTCGTCCTTTCGCTGCTTCATACGTGGAAGTCGATCAGCTGTACCCCTGTTGTACAGCCTCACGCCCTGCCTCTTCTTTACAGGGAGTTCGAACTGGTCCGCTCTGGAGGCTGCCGATAGTGTGGATGTTGCGGTTGAGTGCAAGGAATTCCTCGCGAGCGAAAGCCCGGACATCATCCTCATGTAAAGATAGTGTTCGAGTGGCAGTTTGCATTAGCTGCAGGAATAATCGCTTGAAGCACCGGCCAGCATAACGCTTTTTCCCAGCGCATACCTCAATGGCCGTGGGAGCATTGTCTTTGTAGTGCTCTCTGAAGTATTGCAGCAGCTTGTTGTCCACCTTTGTGCCTCGACTCGTCCGCATTGGTCCAAGGGCTTCATTCAGCGGCGCCAGTATCCTTGCGCGCTCTGCAGCACCTTGTTCGCAGTTCCGTCATGGCATGGTGCAGGGCTAATCAGGCTCACTGCAGCGATCTTGCTCACCCCAGTTACAGTAACGTACGCGCACTTGTGAGTATTTGCAAACAACTAGAAGAGTAGATGCATTCTACAGCATCGAACGGCTGATTGCATCTAGGTCGCTCTGGTACCCTGTACCCCTCAGTGGCGCCAATTAAGCGAACGCGTTCTCCGCGTAGCCTGACCTATTACTGAGCTTTCCTCTGGGATACTGCGACAAGCATAGCGTCCCAAGCCTACCGGATCCAGGGTCTTGCCGTGGACATCTAGACTGGTTCGAGCGGGAAGAGCCACAGGGAGTCTGGACAGCCGGCTAAGACGCTTACTTCCAACTCTCCGACTTCGCCTACTCGCCAGATGCACCTAGCTCCACTCATGACGATGGCAGCTGCCAATTGGGCTTCTCTGTGGATGGTGGCATCAGATAGAAGGCAGCAGCTTCCTTCTTTGGCTATTGTCCGCACCGAGGGACCGGCGGCTCTCCTGATGCTAACACTTTTAACTTCAAGATGCCACAAAGAATATTAAGCAGCGAAGCGCTGTTCGTGTGGCTATGGCTTAACCGCGAGCACGAAGCTTATGTGAAGTGTGCAAAAGTCCGTATTGGCAGACAGAATAGAGCAGCTTCAGCATCGCGATCGAATGGGGCTAGCAGGTCCGCAGTGCCGCTTCCTCACTCTACAGGAGCTTTGAAACCGCCTCCGCAGCCTAGTACAGAGACGTGCGAGCCGACACGACCGATTCGCAAGCGACAAACTGACGCATGTGAATGGGCGTTGGCGCCTGAGCTACTTCGCCGGGGCCTGTCAAAGGTCGAGTAGGTGGGTTTCCTTTGCGACTCTTGCTTGACGGCCACAAACAAGTGCTTCATTAACTTTGGGGAGACGATGACGTCGGAATTTTAGTAGGAATAGTGTCCCCGTGCCGTTGTATACCACGACGGATTCCCCATCACTAGTGCCTTCTCCACTAGTGTTTAGATGCTACAAAGTCCGCGCGTAGGCCACACTGTGCTTATTGGTTGCCCTATAAGACTGCGAGGATGCGCATACAATCGCTTTCCAGTACGATGCTCTCAAGCTCGTGCCTGGTACCTTCTCCTCCAACCTGCCATGTCGGAAATGCCGCAGCCGCGCTTCGCCCACATGATCCCCAGCTCCAGCGCGCCGCTCTTCACACTGTTTTTGAGACTTTGCCACGCCTGCCCGATTTAGGCTTCGCACTCTGGCGCTATTATGCCTCACCAAGGTGGAAATGTAGTATGATAACTCGCCAGCTCGCCCATTCCGCACAGGTCACGGGAATTTGACTCGGTGAAGCTGCACAGAACGCTCCACATCATCTTACAAGACTTCGCTGTGCGCCCTTACCAGCTCTGCAGCCGTTTGGTTGACAAGTGCTACGTAGAGAGGGGACTCGTGCGCCTGAACCTCTATCTTTAATACAATCCTAGAAAGCGGCGAGGACGCTGCAAGTGACACCAAGGTTGAGGATGAGGGACTGTACGCAGCAAGGAGTCTGAAGCGACCTCGTGTCAGTGGGCTGTCCCATCACACATAACTCATGGCAACTACTAACTGCCCTCTCAGCATCCCCTTCCCGACACCGAAACGCACTTTGCTCTCCAATTTAGAAGATGCGCCGCCCGGCCTGACCGGGAAGGCGAGCATCCCGGGAGTTGAAGCTTGCCGCGGACCGGCATCTTCTGGCGCGAAAGCAGCAGCTTTTGGCTGTCAACCAGACGCTTCTGGAGCGCAACAAGGAGTTGATGAGGTTGGAGAAGGGATATGAGGAGCGGAAGAAACTTGCTGCGGTTGAGGAGAGTGAGAGGGTGAGGGAAGGAGTGGTTAGGAGTGAGTGTGGAATGGGTCCTTTCATCAAAACGTCTGCGACGTGTATAGGCACACTTGAGACTTCAACGGACTTTTGGTAGTTGCTGGCTAGCTATGTGTGTACGCTCTGCGTAGAATGGGTATAATGCACACTGAAAAAGCATGGGAGAGGACGCCGACGACGATGAAAATGCTTCCAAAATGTTTCAGGGAAGCAAGGCCATCAAATATGTACGCTCAGAGTTCGAATGGGTATAGAGCAGGGGAAAACCACAGGCTGGCTTCGGCAGCATGATGCTCAATGCCGCAGGAAAATTAAAACGCAATATCGCAAATAAAGGAAATAGAACACCTCTCGTAGCGACCGTTGTCTCTTAAAACGAGAAGGCCGTTATCATCATCTGCCTGTCTCGTTGCTATAAGCTGCTTCGAAGAGACGTGTGTTGTGCAGTTGATTCTTACACTCCTCATAGGTCCTTCCAACATTCGTGGTTCAGAGCCTCCCATATGTTGACTCGGGGTAGGCAGGCAGTCCCTAGTGTTGTGTGAGGGTAGCGCAACATGCCTAAGATCAAGTCATCAACGAGGAATTGGCGCTTATTAAGCTCCTTCTCAACCGAGATATATATTTTTTTGGAATTCTGGGCGCAGGGATTCGTGTCTTGGTCTCCAGGGATTCAATCCCGTCCATGGGCGATGGTTATGAAACAATTCAAGAGCCATTACACCAGCACTCCAAACGTCAACAAGCTGACCATAAGGCCCCATCTCGCGCTCTGGGGCAAGCCAGCCAAGGGTACCACCAGATCCCGGGGTCGCAGGTAGGGTTCCGACACGGTTCAAATCCTTAGCCGCATCTACATCTAGCAAGACGGCACGGCCACTCGAAATACCAGTATTGTCAGGCTTGATGTCCCCATGAAGCAACGCGTTCTCGTGTAAGAACCGAATGCCTTTGAGTAGGTCTTGTAGCAAGCGCAGGCGGATTATGTAATCCCCTTCGGATAGAGTTTTGATGTGCATAGACCACGTGCAAGCGACTGTTGGCAGGAGAATAAAATATACCTGTTCAGTCACGAGCTGATGCAACGGAATTTGGTTTGCCTCGAGGGGATAGACGTCCACAAGGCGAAGGACATGGCCAAACTTTTCGGAATTTGCTTGTGTGGTAATCTTCTCAAGCACGCGACGTGCATGCGTCACTGCCTGGTGGTTCTGCGTAGTGCGATTGATAACCTTCATGGCAGCAACTGTGTCGGCATTGTTCGTGACTGAGAAAACCTCGCCGAAGGTTCCTTGACCAATCGCTTTTGAAATAGTCCATCCAGCAACTTTCAACCATGGCATTGATGGAGTTGGGGTATGATGCAGTGTATCGGCCACACCATCCTTGTAAGCGAGCTCCAGGAATGCGAGGCGTTCGTTGTCGTACGCTTCGTCCCAGCTGTATTCTGAGTATCCAAACTCAAATTGTAGATTTCCGATTTCTAGACTGGTGCAAAGTCTGTTGAAAGAGTATGGCATGATGGTGAGGATTTCTCCATCAACAAAAACATTCTTGATGTTGGGGCTGTAAGCCCTGATGGTCATGAGGCCCGTCTTTTTAGACAAAGCGAAGATTACCTGGCACGGATTCAAGCCGCCAGCTCCTAACAGAATCTGGCAGAGTTTAGGCTGCTTGAGAGTCCCGCTCCCAGCTGTCCATTCATGATCTTGAGTGGGATCTCTGTCTGAAAGCTTGAAGACGTAGCAACCAATGCGCATGGTCTTGAGCTGATTCTGATAAGCCTTGGTGGGAGTGTTTGGCTCCGTGAACTCTCCGGATCCAGATGTGTCTGAGTTCTTTGACTGTGCTGATCCTGGATTTGGCTGGTTAAGCATCATGAATGGGCGGACATGAATAGCTCGTGCGTCTGCTAGTGACAGAGACGCGACATTGTGGAATGCCTGTTCGGCGTGGCTGTTGCTTGGGCGCAGTTTGGCTAGAATGCCCGGCATACTGCGCGTGGTTGTCGCCTTTTGGGGAGACTCTGCGGTATAGAGAGGGCACGGCAGCTGGAACAGAAATGTTGATCAATGTCCAGAAGTAGTAATATCCAAGCGGTGCGCCCGTTTACGCTAGCGACCTACATGGTTAGTGGCTGAGCCCGACGTGCGCCGCGCACGGGCCCTCGTGTTGCCTAATTCAGACCAGCGAGAACCACCACCCTAGTTGCACCTCACTACTACACAGAACTTACCAAGACAGTAACCAAACCTTCGCGCGTTCCCGATGGCATATTTGGACCGGGACCTGGATGCAGAGCCGCGTTATTTGCCTGTTCAGGGAGAGGACGAGAGGCAGTGGCCGGACGTTGTCGAAACCCAAGGCCGTTATCTTGAGACTGGGCCTCCCACACCTGTATACGGCCTTACTACCGACCCTTGGCATGTTGTGGACCTGTATCATGCTATAGTTCTACTCCACAATCGACAGGAGCCCCGACGTGAGCTGTACGGCGGCGATGCCGACGAATCTCCCCTCGGCCACACGCCTTCCAGAGACACGTGCCCGCTACGATAGTGCAGAAGACAATTTAAGGCGCGAAGGCATCAAGGGAATGCGAATCGGAATCCCAGACATGATGGAGGTGTCTGCTGCACACCAAGTCGTTCAGTGCTGCCCAGAATCAAATCTGGAGCCAAATTGCAACTCCCAATGGGCCGTCCTGAACCCTGAACTGGCCGCTGAGATTCTCAAAAGCCCCTTCTACGTCGCAGACGATGGCTGGTCACTGGTGCTGGGATCCCGCCCCACTCACTCTCCCTCCCGCTCTTCCACATCGCCCCCGACCGACACTGGCGCCTTTGGCGAACATTCCTGCTCTGGAAAAATCCATGATGAGGGCTACCACTCTCGACCTACCAGTGGCGATGCGGCCAACTCGGTCGCAAAAAATGAGCATGAACAAGTCGTCGGAATCCAAGAGATGCCTGTTGCCTAGTATCATGTGCAAGTCGACAGATAGCAGACGCTGAGTCCACCAATTACTGGTGTCTGGAGAACATGATCGCTGCGCATGCAAGGATCACAGAAAAGTCGCCCTCCTAGTCGAGGGAGTCTCAGCCACGCGTTTTCGGGACGAGCTTTGTATCAGGAGTGGGGGGATACAGTACAATGAGATTGGCAGAAGGAGTAGATATGACGAAAATGGACACATTACATGCGATCAAATGCGCACCTCACTCCTGATTTACATTGCACCACTTGCTACTAGTTGTCCTTTTCTTGAAGAGCATGACATTTAGTGCGCCTGGTTTCTGTACTACTTGCGAACGTTTTCCGCAGGCATAATACTTCTTCAAAATTCGCGGCAAGCAGACTAACTGACTGTACTCGCCTCAAGGTTGCGCAAGCCATCGAATTTTAATATTGGGGAACGAGGATCTTCAGTCTGGGCGTGATCGGCTCATAAATGCCACGGTATGGATTATATCTCTCATTGTCAGGGTATCGTTCCATATGTTCAACGGGTCGTTGTATTTTGCTTCAAGTGCGGACCCAAACGCGCCTCTGCACAGGCCAGCGTATCTTCAATGGCCTTGATTTGCTTATCATCGAACGTCCTCAGTCGCTCCTTTCCACGGGAGACATCATAGTCAATCAACTTTGCAACTTCCATCTCGAAAATAGGCTTAAGTTTAGTCATTTCCGCTCTCAAGACTCCCGCATTCCTCGACTCACACTGTTGCACATGGCGCCTAAACTTGCTTTCGATGCCTCGGAGCCCGCTATGCTGAGACTGGAGGCATTTGTCCTACAGCTTCTAATTTCCCCGCACGAGCTTGAGGAGGTACCTCATCAGCAATAGATCGACGTATTTCTTGATGATGACATCGACGCCGCTTGACCTCGACCTTGTGACCTTGACCTGCACCTGGGCAGGTCCATACACATGTAGCTTCATCCAACACGTGGTAACTGAGCTAACCATTTCCGGGCCGTTTCGCCTCTATTATCAATTACGATGCTCATCTGCTCTCTGCGCAAATCCGCCTTGTCATGCCACGATGCCTGGAAGTTGAACCCAAACCTGCATCCATACCCGGATCTGTTGTTCAGAATCCGCCCCCATAATCGAAGAGACTGCGAGACCAGGGCCCTTGATCAGCCCCGTGAGCACTATACCTACCAGCGCAAATGAGGTTTGCAGGGCATCACGCGATATTACAGGCGGAAAAGAGCTTCAGGTCTAAGTCCTCATATGTGCGAAGTCGTAGCCGAGCAGAACGAGAAATGAAGCTCCGCGTTGATACCATGTCGTCACTCATCTGTTTGACCTATCGCTGACTCCAATCGTTATCAAACTACACAACTTTGAAGTATGAGCGTTTGTTGCAGTATGATCCATTCGTCAGTGCATCTTGGATGAGCTTGATCACTCGCCCAAGGCCTACTTGGGTCTGTTGATACTTATCTGTGGTGTCGATGACATAGGCGCTGCAACGACTGCTTGCACGCCTATACTGTCAGGTTGACTGAAGGTATATCCTATTCTGCTCACATGATCGATTGCTCACCGATCATTGTTACCCTTTTTGCATGCTGGCGCAGTGGGTGCAGACCTACGTGCCGACACACAACACGACGCTGCAGCTGGAGTTGATACATTGACGCCGACGACTGCTTCCGTCCGCAACACTGGCTCAACAAGCTAGCTAGTGACCTGCTTGGACAATGCTCACTACTACAGCGTTCAAACCGTTCAATATATAATTTTCGTCGTTGGCCTTCTCTATTACAACGTCGGGCCAATCAAAAAGACTAAATAAGCCGGCTTCACCTCTCTGCTCTCACCGCCTAAGAGAATTGCTCGTTTGTAGGTGAAATTTGTACACCGTGTACGTCATTCAATCTCCCAGCGTCCAGCTGTAATACCACTGATTATATCACTTGGAGTCAGGCGCAGGTTTCATTTCCTGAGCGGGGTCCTAAGTATAAGATACCCGTTAAAGCAGCATCTCCGAACTTGCAATATCGACCTTTGCGACCTCAGCTTGATCGTCCATCAACTGTTTGCTTGTCTAGACGAGCCACATATTTGCGGGTCTAAAGCTAAAGCTCCGCCATCCTCCTCCACCAGACGCACTCTCTTTCGGCAAGCCACCTTTATTCTTTACCCTCCTTCCGTCTACGATTGCTCTCATCACAACCATGTCTCCAGCAAAGTTTCTCCCGGAAGACTACGCTTTCTTCATTCTCTCTCAGAGGATACATGAGTATCACGGTCTTGCCAGATCGCTGGCAAGGGTCATCTGCAATGGCAAGCGATCAACGTGGACCACGGATGCTCCCGACGGCACCGATCCCGAGGATTTCGCCCGCGCAATCGCCACCCTCATCGCAACGAGACTGTCCGAGCTTCATGTCCCCGTGCATCGGATTTTCGAAGAAGGGGACGACATCTTGGGCGAAGAATTCAGGGAGGAGCTAGGCACACACGTCGGGTGCGTCATCGTCGTATCTCTCAACATGCGCGACTTGGCTATAAAACGCCAATTGGGTCGACGCGTAAGTTGCTCCCCATTCCCGCTTGCGCGTCAGCTGCGGAGGGAGATGGAGGTGATGAGGCATGGAACTGACATGGTTGTACTAGGTTGATGCACAGCGTCAGGATGCATTGGCGGATTTGGTGCAGGCCCGAGATCACACAGTATTTCTGATGCTGTGTGAGAGGGAGCTACATATCGAGGTTTGCGGTGAGAGTAATGGGCGTGACATCATTACTCAGATGCTTGTACAAAAGGAATGGTAAGCGGTCGAGCGGAATGGCGCGGAGAAGATTGAGCGAAAGGCAAATGAAACGGGGAAAGGATGACGATGAGGGTTGCAAGGAAAGAACGAATCCAGTGTGTGTACTGGATCTTGCTTTGGAAGAAGCAGGTTTATGTCGGGTTTTTCTCGTCATTGGTGGGATTGAAGAGGACGGATCATTGGCAAGTCTGGAGACTTGACAACGAGTATAGTTACAGGAATTGCAGTCCACAGGGTGAGATTGCCGACAACAATTGTCCTTTATACAGACTGGTTAAAGTGCCGTGCTGTCTCGTGTGAGTATCTGGCAGGTATGCTTGCTCGCCTATCTACTTGTATCATTCGCGGTCATCACCTTGCCCACGTTATAACTCTAATATTTCATTTGAACAAAGCGTGCACGATTAATACCGGCATCTAGTACATTTCATAGCATTTACAACAGCAAAGATAGACATCGAAAGTAAGTGCCCTGTCCACTCTATTAATGAAGAATGCGTCAACAGAGATGCGCAGGCTGGTATGGGTATAACAAATGACAGACGCTCTAAATGCTGACGGAAAACCCGGGGTTCTCGCCAAAGTCACCTTTACCGCGAATGCGAGCATGAACCTTCAAGGCAGCCAGAGATCCGTCGACTTCTGACGCTTGTTTGAGCGTACATCTCCAGCCCCAATGTTCTCCATAGCCAGTTTGATGTTGCTTAAACGCTTGTCCAGGGCCCACTCTAATACGTTGCGAAGTTGGCCCCGGAACTCTGCCATGCCAGGGTTCTCCGGGTGGTACAGGTCTTTCAGAAACTGCTGGCCGATTCTCTGCATATGATATTGCCCGTCTTTCCAAGTAGGTGCGCGCCAATGGACATACAAATGGACCGTGTTCATGTTGCATGTGATGGAGAAATGGCAGGTGTCGACAGCGGACGGCGTACAAGAAGCACCCACAAAGAACTGATGGTTAAAGTTCACTATCGCAGAGCTTCCCCTCGCACACTGCAGCTCGGCTTGCGCATGGTCCTCGGCAGCAATGTAGCTCTTCCACTCGCAGGTCAGGAAAGGAAAGTGTACCATGGAAGTAACTGACGGAAGATACACATCCTGTAAGGAAAGGGGTCAACGGAAATTTCTTACGGTTGAAATAGTTGGAGTGCACAAGTGCTTACCATGTTGACCTCCTCGGCAGCCGTGAACACGGACGAGACTTCTCCATTCACAGCGCACTCCGAAGTGACGTAGCCAATGGCGTGATCGCAGACAGAAGTCGAAAGCGATTTGAACGCGTTCCTCACTTCGGGAGTAGGTGGCTCTGGTAGGTACTTTGCGGAAAGTGTGGCTTGAGCATCCCGGTGGATATAACGCTCGCCACCTTGCGCTTCTCCTGCGAAGAGAAGATGTTGGACAAGCAGCTCGATACCCCCGCTTTCGCCTGCCCTGCTAGCCATTGGTTGTTGTCTGTAAAGCATTGCGGCAGCGGGTGAAGGTGGGTCGGTAGGCGTGCGCGGTTTCCTCACAACCCGTGCGATGAAATCGTCAAGCAGAGGTGGCAGTTTGGCCAGGGTGGGTACAAAAACATTGAAAGCTTTTAGCTTCTTCGCATCATCGACAGTAACAGATACCATGTCAATGGAAGCGGTGCTTTGAACGCCATCTGGGCTGTCTGGATTGGTGGAGGATGTCGGGCTGGTGGGAGTGGGAGAGTCCGCATGCGCCTGCGCGTCCCAATCATCAACGACCTCAACCGATGCCTGCGACTCCGTCGAAGAGTATTCCAAAGGCTTGTGTGTATCCCAATCCACGACAAGCTCGGCTGAGCCCTCTGACTCCGGTGTCAATCGCAAGGTCGGTATGCTGTCGTCGGACAGAGTGGGCGAAGAAAGGCCGGAACTGTCCACCATGGGCGTAGTGTAAGAGGATTGGTCTATAGTCTCGGATGAGCGAGGTTTATCGTAAGTCATGGTGGCATTTCGTTTGCGCAGCTTGGCTGGACGGTTAGGTAAAAGTGTTCGAGTATTGAGGGTCTAGCAGCACTACAGTCGCGGGGCGGTAGCGGAGGCTTCACGTAATCACGTGCTCGATCACGTAGTCACGTGCCTATCGTCATCGGGTACCCCATTATTGCGTGCGCGCAATCTCTGAGAACTGAACTAGCATTTGAGGGCGGTTTCAAACTGCTTAGCTTCGCCTGCTTTCAAGGGCATTGTCATAAACTCAAAAGGCATCAGATTCATTCAGGCATGTGTCTGCGCTCACACGTGAGCTCCAATACTAGATTGAGTCTGGACAGAAACCTCTCAACGAACAAGCTTAAAACTTCCTCAATGCGAGTATAGTTTTTATTTATTGCTGGAGCTGGATCGACAGAACTCAGGTGGATCCAGAGGGCTCCCGTATGGGGAAGGTTCCCAATCGAGTCTCACGCATGCTAAGAGGAACAAGAAGTGAATTCGAAACGGGATTCAACACCAGCGAATCTTCCAAGGCAACTCAGGCATGGGATTTTAGCTTCCCTGCCAAGCTCGAAGCTTTCGCATTAGTACGGCGGATGCTCCTTTGTGGTTGTCGACGTGATGTTTAAACAACAGCAATTGCGTCGATGCATCCTTGAGCAACCGTTGGAGGCTTCTTCTTGCTGTGATTGTGACCCAAATATTAAACGACTCACATTGGCGTGCACAACTCATACTGTGTTGACTAGAGTAGGCTTCTTGTATGCCTTGTGAACACATATGTGGAACATCGAGAGGAGTTGAGGGAGCGCCGGCGGGAGTGGAATAGGCCATTGTCCTCGTCTAGAGGATCTTTGCAGAGGTGCAAGCATGTTCGGGGTGATTATCAATCGAGATGTCGCGAGAAGGCAAGCTTTCAGCTGAGCTCAGATCAGCATGTTCAAGGGGAGGCGAGAAAAGCAATTGCTATCGAGCCTGAGACACCAATTTTGTTGGTTGCGCTTCACAGATGGTTCGTGCCGTGTCCCAACACCAAACAAAGCAAGAGCCTGCGCTTCGCTCCTACATCTGGCCCGTGATCTCCACACTTACACACAAAATGGTAGGATCGAACCCAAACCAGCCGAACGCCGATGCGGAGGTACGGAACACTCGCGCTTTTTGGGGTCTGTGGGCTCGAGGCGCGAGGGATACATGGTCCTTCAGGCCGCCCATGACAGCCGTGTGGTTCCGTTAAGGGGAAAGAAAGGATGGATCGATGGCACTCTGACTACAAAAGAAGGACTAGGGACATTCAGGGACCCTGTATTGTCTATGCTCGCAAAAGGCAATTCAGACTTGGATGAAGCATGCGCCAAGTGTAAAGAACGAAAAGTATTGGATCGATCATGTGCCAGATCCCCACTTCTCGCAGCAAACGCGTTCATCAACTCTGATGTGTTTCCTTCATATTCATCTACATAGATCTGACCGCAATGTCACTGCGGGACTTCCCTACCACCCGCACATCTTCGCTTTGAATACCACTGACGTGCCAACGTCACTTGCCTTCAATTAAATAAAGGCAACATTTTCCTCCGCTCCCTGCGCCAGCCTGGTGAGCAGGATGCGTTGGGGCGAGCCCTTAGGCTGAGACCGGTGTCTTTTTTTTGCCCGAGTCTTTGAAGTGTTGCCGGAGGATGCATCGTGGAGTTCCCCACGCATCGCGGGTCCGGGTTTTGGCGGAGGAAGGAGAAGAGGTAGTCGACGTTTGGGAATTGTGACAACTTGAGCCCTCCCAGAGAAGACGGGAGAACAGATGTAGGTGCCAGGTCTGTCAGTGTAATCGGGCTTGTGAGGACCCATATAATGGGGGAAGGATGAGACCTTGGATTCCCAGAGGTCTGGGCTGCCCAAATCATTGGCAGGACGTCCAAGATCTAAGAGTCTGGGTGATTGTGGGGTCTGATCGTCGCGCTGCATTGCTGTAGGATTTGAAGCAATCCTGGGAACCATCGTGGTTGATCCATCGGAAGGGCTACTTCCGGGGGATGGCGAAGATACGCTGGAGTCCGAGAAGTAAGATCGGAAGAAACAATCTTGCGGAGTATTTGGAATAGAGACGTCGTGATAGAATGTGCGTGGTGACGCTGGAGGCGTGGTACAGGCAGTGTCAGGCCCGCAGTCGACAAGCTCGGGGTAGGAGCTGGACGTACAGACCGGCGAGGCCACACTAGCTTCGTAAGGCCGCTGGGGCAGGCAAGATTCAACGTTACTGATCCCACGAAGTGAAGTAGACGGATCGGGAGCAATGGCGTGCGCCATTGCACCAGAAAATGTCGCCGGTTGTTCTCGGAAATCGTCGGAAATTTTTGACAGCTCCTCTAGAGTAATCAATACTCCCCATCTCCTCCTGCTCCTCGCTACGCAGGAATCGCTGCCAGCATCAGTACTGTTCGTATTCTCAGGATTCGGGAGCATTTTTCCGGCTTAATCTAGGATAGTTGAAGCGGAAGATGGTGGAAGGGTAAGCTGATCGAAATAGAAGATGGATGCATGCAGTTGCAAGGTGAAGGGGATATTTGAAAACTCAACATCAGCCCATGTCAATCTTTGGCGATAGCGATGGCTCGCTTATATAGCTGGCTGACTGAGACCGAGACACATCTTCAGTGCTGTCTGTGCTTGGGTGACTATTTGGGGCGAACACACCCTTTTATTGATCGAAGCAAGTGGCTTTGAGGAGACCAAGTGGACGTATTGAACTGCATGGCACATTGATGTCCATGCGCATAGATCGGCCAGCACGGGTAGAGCGTTGTAATGAGACCAAAACTGAGGTACAGCCCAAGTCATACCGCCAGACTCTGGCCATGGATTATTGAACTCTTCTATTAGCAGAGTCAGAATAGCTCACCCTTGATCCGTCGCCCACCAGTACGATGGCTTACCTTGCTAAACGTGGCGCACGCGAACGCCACAGGTCTGTTCAGTAAAGGCCCTGGAGCTGAAACTTTGGCTCGTGCCCGACAAATTGATAATGCGTTGTGAGAGCGAACAGTGCATTGGTGAATTAGAGATGCGCCCATCTTAGTAAAACTATGAAGGAGCGTGAGGTGGCCATACCCCCGATTGGGACCTGAGGAAGTGCGTTTTATCGCGACCCAGTGCTGGAACTGAGAGTATGTGGTGCCGCACAAGGCTTAAACTTCCTCATTAGCTAGCTCGGTAATTCCGCCAGACTTCTTCGTAGAGCCGGCACCTTTCTGCCCTCTGCAGTGGCAACGAATAGACTAGAGTTGTTCACATGCTCCGCGCGAAAATAAGCATCATACAGAGCCTGAAGCAGTGCTCGATCGCGCCCGAGGGACGAATAAACTAACTCCCATTGGACGGAATTTCAATGCTGTAATGGACCCTCTAGAGAGCATGGAGTTCCTTTGTTAGCACCTGGCGGAAAGTGACTGGGCCACCGTCGAAAGGCGTTGTAACTGCAACACCCAGTTCCCGATGCTGCACGGGGAGTAACGTAGACGAGAATTACGTTTTCAACATCGGTGTTTCGTCTTGCACCTGACGTGCCGGCTCCTATCGCGATCTCCGGTTCAGCGGTGGAACCCATCTGTGACGCTCCTACGCAAGACCCAAGTCACTACAATTGGCGCCGTCCTCCCGTGTTATCTATGGTCTTGGAAACTGTTCTTTTCTTTCCTGTAAGGCGCGTCTCATCTGCAATCTCCCTCTTGCACCATGTGTTGCGATTGGGCGGCATCCGGAATGAGGTAGCGGAACATCGCCACGGTGGCGGATTCTCTGAACACGCTCTGTTGAGCCTTGCTTCTGGCATCCCTAATCTTTACAGCGGTCTCCTCCGCTGCTGATTCGGAAGGTCCAGGTGGCCTGTTTCTATTGCAACACAGAATGGTGGGTGCGAGAGAGATAATTGTAATGCGGTCGATGAGGCCTTAAATGATGCCTCGATGAGAAGTGGAAGATTGTTCATCAGCTTAAGGAAAAGGCGCGTGTCAGGAATGTGCGAATATGGCAGTAATTCGATCTTGAGGGGAAATAGCTATGACATACTCGAAGGGGCATGAGGCTAGTCTAGTCTATGGTTTTCGAGGCCGATTTGGTCGATGATTCTTATGATGCATGAACACGTATATCAATCATTACCTCTACTTTGGCAGACTTGAATCATTCGCACCTCCTACGCTTCCTTCCACCGCGTTCTATCTTGGCAATCTTTCCAATGGCGCACTGGATGGTGTCGAGACGAACCCCCACTGCCCAGTCCAGGATATTCCGCAAGCGAGCTCGGAACTTCAGCATGTCTGGGTTACTCTCATCTTCGTCGGCATCGCTCAGGTTGTGGGAGCCGATCCTTTTCGAGTAATGATGAATATCGCCTGCGAAATGCTCGCGCCAGTGCACGTAGAGCTTGACGGTATCCATATTGCACGTAAGGGAGAAATGAATCGTATCCAGTAGGGTAGGCACCATGCCAGCATGCTTGAGAAAGGCGTAATTGTAATTGACGACGCAAGCGGCACCACGGACTGCTTGAAGGGCAGCATGAGTGTGGCCTTCACTGCCACCACCGCTCTTCCATTCTGCGGTCAAGAACGGAAAGAGAGTTGCCGCAGCGGGTACGATGGCTGTGAGCTATGGAGGGAGGTATTAGGTTTTTGTTAATGATGGGGAAGGGAGGCTTAACGCATGACTTACCACATCATTCTCCTGGGCTTGGTTGAAAGGAGCCGTAACACGCCAGCGGCCAGCGTCACTGCTAGAGATGTAACCTATGGCATGATCTGGTACAGACTTGGAAAGAGCGGACCAGGTGTCGACAACCTTCTGGCTGGGAGCTTCTGGAAGATGTTCGCCATCAAGCACAACTTCGGCATCCTGAATGATGTAGGCCTCGCCGCCGTGTCTTTCTCCCTTGAGCAGAATGTTTGGGGCGAGTAGCTCAATACCTCCACGTTCACTTTTGTGTACAGCAACTAACTGATCACGACCTACATCTCTAGCAGAAGGTGATGTAATTCTGCGGTAAGCCTTGATCTGATCGTCGACGAAAGAGTGAAGTACATCTGGCATAGCACGCGACGCCTCGCTGTGTATGTTGTACGCCGTTAGCTTTTGGAACGTATCAAAAGCTTTGTTGACCATGTCGGCGGATGCGGTGATGCAAGACTCATCTCCAGAGCCAAGCGTAGGCTCTGATCCAGCGGCCGAATTGTCCCAAAGCTCAGCAGACTCGCTCGACGGAGGTGCGTGCGGCAGCGTTGACGACGACGATAGCGACTCCGATGGCGACTCTGGCAGCCGCAGGGGGGAGGGTGACCGGGAACGCTTCAAAAGTGAGGGCGGAGCCGTGTTAGCTGTCATCGACAAGATATGGGAAGCTTCCAAGGGCGGAGGGGGCGTAGATGGGGAGGTGACGGCACTCGAGGTGCAAGAAGATGTAGCTCTCGAGGACATGTCGACCACTTGCCGATGCAGCAGACCGAAAGACGGCGCAGAAGTGAAGTTTTATGGTGGGATGGAGCGCCAAAGGCGAGACGCCGGGGAGCTTGGAGAATAGACGCGCTAGCAGGGGTCGCGTGATCACGTGCGCGTGCAGCTTCCTGCAACACTGAGCGCCTTTGACCCTGGTCGTCATTGAAAAGAAATTATTGCGAGAATCTATTGAGAGATATCCAAGCTACTATATCACGAGTTTTCCAGCCATTGCACAAGTTCTCGCCGCTTTGCAGGCAGACAGGACAATAAACCGTCCTTCACTTGCAGTCGCGCAGTTGAGATCGCCCGTGCCCGCTCCATCCGTCCACAGACCGCATCTGCAAGCGCCTTATATTCAGATCTTCGAAAATACAGCTCGTCCCTTGCGCATCACCTTCCGTCTCCGACATCACTTCGCCCTTGCACCACTCGAACCGCATATACACAAATTGTCGCTTAGACCTTTGGCTCCTATATACAGAGGATCCAACGCCATGAGTCCGGCAACTACGCCATTTCCGGGCTGGTGGTAGGCTACGGAGAGGTATCGCAGAGATGATCAGGCGACATTGGCCACGAGACTAATGGCAAGACTCGCGACCCTGGCGCAAATCGAGCAGACGCGCACCCAGTCTGACCGGTTGGTCCGCAGCAAATCTTCCCCCGAAGTTTTGATAACGGCATTCTCACGCGAAAGCGACATCTCCTAAGGTTCAAGCGACCTATGCGCTGCAATAGAACTTATGCTGATATGAGTTGTAGCTCCCAGTACCGTGCACAGCACAAGGCCTTCTACCTCAAACAATATTTGCGACAATGTAAAAGCATCTTCGACCGCGGCAACATCGGCGGCAAGCGCTATTTCGCTAGATGACAGCGAATTCGCCCTCTACTTGGCTGCTTCACCTCGCGCACATTCTCAATCACGTCCTGCCCGTGGAGCTCATTTCTGTCGGCCCTGTGAAGATCAGAGCATGTTCCGTTCTCCCAAGGCACCCCAAGCCTCACGGAAATTAGGTGAGGACTGTGTGCCGGTGACAAATGGCGATATTGGTGAGCCGCACAGCTGGATTTCCAGCCCACGCAGATCGAGCAACTACACTTGTAGCATCAGCGAGAGGCTGAGCGGGAACGATAAGACAACATCGCCTAACAACGTTGATATACAAGCAAGGGAGCTTCGTTACAAGTGAAGCTCGTAAGCGCTTAGGCACTGAGCACAATTTTAGTCAACGAGAGCTCGCTTGGAGTCATGTGTGCCGGCAACTCTTATGACGGCTTTCAGAAAAGACATCTCAGACGCGGCCGTGTCGGAATTTATTTTGGAGGGTATACAGGCGATCTACCCATCGGAGCATTGACATTACATCCCCAACTTTTTTCAATCCGCTCCTTGAATGCCACTAATACGGCCCATGACTCTTCATTTCACCGCTGCATTAAGCTTCATTATCCTTCATAAATACTCTCATCCCCAATTCAACCAGCCCCTCAACTCTGGACGCCAGGCTGCTTACCGCATTCGCCGATATCCAGCACTCAGAGCAACAATAGCGACGCATCCATTCCTCCTACTCCATGGACCACTACCATTATCCACGCGGCAGCGACGCTTGGTGCACCACTATTACACTGACTCATGGCGATTCGGCATCCCTCGCACCAGGAGTTGGGATTAGTCCGCGAACCATGCAGCTTTCTGGCCAAGACATTCAGGGCAGTCCATGATGGCTACGAAAGCGTGGGGTGCAGACTTCAGAAACTTTTCTGCCACTCATGCATCGCGCGCAAGAATATTATATGTACTACACAGTACCCGTGGATGATTGGAATATATTTCAGTACCAGTAAGGGCCTTACAAAGTAAAGAATATTCATCCCAATGGAGTCTGTTAATACTAGACCGCAAAGTTCTTCAATACCGAAGTAAGTGTTGCAGAACGGCAGGGTATTATCCAGAACTCTTTCGAAGAGCTCCACAAGAAAGAAGGAAGCTTTGCACTCTGCGAGAAGTACAGCTACGAGGATGGCGTTACCAGCTGGTCTGCGAGAGGCGTTGGCGTCTCTATTACAAGAGCATATCCTTCAAGAAAGCAGTGCGCTAGTCGGCGCAGCCTTGCGAGATCATACTCAGGATTCCATTACATCTACCGGTGGCGCAATAGACTCCAGAACCTCATGGATGAGTGTTGAAGAAGTAGGTCAAGGAGAGAGACAGCGCCTTCGCAATCTCTGCAACAAAGTGAGAAAGGATGCCCAATTGACACCTGCAGAGGCAGCTCCACAGCACGGCCCAACAGGTACAATTCAGAGAACAAATACTTAACCATCATGGAGGGATGTCACATCTGTCGATGTCTCCTGAACAATTTCTCGGGCGAGGTCTGCGGTGTTGATCACCATAGGCAAGATGTAGTAGTACCAGTAGCTTTGAAGCATTCGCAAACTTGCGTGTGCGGAAAAGAGGCATGCTGTTTTCTATTCGCAACCTCTATCCATTTGATTTGATCATTTTCTCATCTTCTTGCCCTCGCATCGCGTCCATCCTTTTCCGTGCATTCCCTTTCGAGACCTCAAGATCTCAAACATGCAGACATCGGAGATTGCTGCTGCAGAGGAATGCCTCAAAGGTGCTTGCGAGCAAACTTGTAGCAAGCGGGGGGAAACACAAGCTTTGGCAGCTTATATAGTCTCCTGCTGCTCGCAACTTTCACTTGGAATCACGCCCAGCAGCATGCCCAACTTCTTCGATCTCCCCCGGGAGCTTCGGGATGAAGTGTACGATGCAATCCTCATATTTGCAGAGGACCGAGTACCTGTTCAACGCATGTCTTTGTACTATCTTAGACTCACAATGCCACCATCTCTTCTTCGAGCATCACGTCAGGTACGTATTGAGGCACTGACTACACTCCATCGACGTTGGCGAGACAGCGCGCGCACTCCACATGCAGCCTTGATATTGGATCTTAGCCATGCAACACCTGGTTTCGTTCCTGATGTGGCAACTTCAAACATGCTCAGGATCGTCCTGTTGTGTGTCGATTCTCACAGGCGCTCCGACCAACAACGCCTGGCCCTGCTCGGCACACAAAACGCTCCATTCGTCATGGATCCTCAAATCAACAATGGTCCTCAGGGAATCTACCAGGCCTGGCCCATCAACATACCGTCCAGACCAGCCTTCGAACGCTTCGTTGGACGCATTGTCTTCAACTCCCGCACCAACAACACCATTGACATTCGACTACGCGCTTCGGAGTCCCTCCAAGACGACATCACATTCATTCAACAGCTCCTTTTCACTCAGAACGCGCCAATCGAACTTACGATCCTTGCTCCAAGAGGACCATTGGCCTCAGCCTGGAGGACTACCATAAACGCAAGACTCAACAATACTCTAGGTGGGATCGGATGGGCATTCACCACGCAGGTCCCAATCCGCCTTGAAGTGTTGCCTATGTTATGGGTCACCGTATTCGAATACTTGCTGAGCGCGGTCCAGTTATTAGCGGCTTTCATGTTTTTCTTCTTGCTTAGTCTGGGCCTACAGTGGATGCGGAGGTCCTAGGCGCTGAGTTGTGAGGTACTTGAGCTGTAAAGGAGCCGAGTTTCAAAGGAGAAGACTTTTGGAAGAGTTGAGTTGTATTGTTAGGAAGTTCAGCTTTTCCTGCCGTAGAATGACATGCGATCTTGCCGTACATGTTTGGTTACTGTGTTATAATTGCGAGAACTACGCCTGCTACCAAGGTAAAATGGAGAACATAGCTTTCGTCGCCCATGTCCGTGTTCAAGCCTTCGCGCCAAATCACTGTCTGAAAGGCCCTCCTGCGCGACAAGGTTGGAGAAATCAGAACTTTTTATCGTCACTTCAGCCTATGGATGTCGGAACAGCGCATTGGAGTTACTGCTCCCAATCAAATGATTGAACGTGTGCAGCGCGCCTGCGAGAAGGAAATGTACAAGGATTGGTCACCAGTCAGAGACGATGCAGTGACTACATCTTAATTTGAGCTGGCAACCACCTAAGACTCGGTAAATGGAACAGGCTTTACGCCTTCAGATCTTCAAAGACTCCTCCAACATGGAGCGTGCAAAACAGGACCTTACTCATTCGTCAAGCGTCGTGGTTCCTGCTCTGACATCATTCCTTGATGCATGCATAGCATAGCGTTCAAGCCCCCTCTTACCCGGTCGCAGCCACATGAGTCTCCAGCCGATGCCACCATCATTCCGCCGTTTGCGTGATCGAAAAGTAACAACGCTAGCAGCTTTCAGTCCATCTCCTTCAGCCACATCACCACTTGTCTTCTGGATCTTAAACGCTCGATGAAGAGGGTCTGGGCCATGAGTAGTTGCCGCGGAGTCAACGACTCAAAGATATTTTACTCGCGCAAAAACGTCGACGTCGTGAGGTGAATTGATCACTCTGAGTCCCCAGACGGCAAGCACTGTTCAACCGCCCAGTTTCGGCGACAAGTATGGTTGCTTGACGCGCCTAAGACAGTGCATAGCAAGACCTGAATGGGCTGAGCATCATCTCTCTATACGACGTGTTCCCCAGAGAAAATGGATCCATGCAGAGTCACATCACCTCCCGTGCGTGTAACAGGGCTGAAAGCCGATCGATCAATGGCCCAAATCCGCACTTACTTAGACAGGTGGCGGACGCCCCTGATTTCCTTTTCATCCTGACAGGCTTCTATATTGCGGGACTCAACGGGGTTGAGTCTGTGATCGCGCTTGGTTGATAGGTGCGGCTCCGTGGGTGCTGCTCCGAGCGTGTAACGATATGAGACAGGGGTTGTTGAACAAACGCTTGCCGTACCTGCCAGAAGCCGTGGCTGCACGGTCCAATCTTGGTCGCACATCGAAACGCAAGGGATGGCCAGAATCTACCAGCCGTGCCAGCCGCAATTGAGATGCCAGGTCGAATACAAGTGGAAAGATTCCTATGGTCAAGTTGTTGTTGTTTCAAACAGCGGCAGCCCAAACGTGCTCATAAGTAGCCCACCCCCGGCCGTCTCCCTTTTACTTTCCCATAGGGCCTCTTCTACTTGCGGCCACCATCCGCTGTTCGTGGCGGCACCACGCTACTCCATAGTCTACGATCAATCATGTTCCCTATCGGCCAAGCCAACTCCGCCATGGTTCGAGTCGAATCCATACTACAACAGCTTCAGCCCCCTCCATTTCCATGAAGCATTCCCTCACTTTCAGCAACTTAATTCACACTACAACACCTTGAACCCCTCCCATTCCTGTCCAGCACCTCCTCGATTTCAGCAATCAAATCCATACCACAACACCTTGAACGCCGTCCAACCCCGCGAAGCATCTCCCCAGTTTCAGCAACCAGATCCGTATGCTGGCAGTGCCAACGTACACACCACCTTCGGTCTGCATGGGTATGGAGTATCCCCTTACGACCCGCAACCACTTCCGCATGACGGCAGATCCGGCATCGGCACCATGTCAAGTCAAGACGGAGTGCAAACCCAACACCCTTTGCAGGCAGGCGACGATACTGTCGAATCAGCATCCACGTTGCACCAAACCTCTCCGGCTTCCGCCTCAAAAGAGGACCTGATCCAGAACACGCCCCAGCAGACGGCCTATGCTAGTGGTTCTGGGACTCAACACCACAGCCACTCGCCCAATAGCCTCAGGCATTCAGTCCGACCAAAAAGAATTGGGCGCAAACCACCACGCCAGGAGTGGGACCCCAGCTACCGGCTCGTTCACACTGCTATTGACGAAGAAGAAGCCGCCAACCGTGCGGCCTTCAAAGCTCATCAAGAGTATGAAAGGTTGCAAATCCGCCTTCGAGACAAGTACAAGGTTTATGATCCTACTGTGGACATGATGACCTGGCTTGATAGTAGTATTGACTTGCCGGGGCGCCGCGGTCAGTACCATTCGAAGTTCAAGCAAACCACGGACTGGAGACTGTTGCTCAAGGCGATTGTCGCTGAGAAGGCTGCGGACACAAAGTTCAAGGAGAAACATGAGGCAGCGGCACAGCTCCATCGTTATGCGGTGGATGACACGGAGGACTTTGAGGATTGAAGGGTTGCGTGACTTGGGTTGATGCGATGAGGCCGGGATGAGAGACTTGAGGGAAATTCGATCGCGTGTTACGATGTTTTGTTGTTTCCATCAGCGTTCAACGCCATGACCGGTAGTGCAAATAATGTAATGAAGCCTTCCGATCTAGTCCCGCCTTGGATGCTTACATCTCTCTGGTCACGCCCTGTACCGTGAACATGCAATCCTACAATCGGTCTTTTGGACATCATTTTCCTCTTGAACAAGACGATGGTGGACGCTGTTAGATATGTGCAGTCGTGCGGGTTATAGACTAGGCACGATCGCTACTATTGCAAAGTGCCAGGCATGAAAGTACTGTCGCGCGATGGTAGGATGGGCGGACTGTGAACTTTTGACAATGCCCTGAGGTTTGCGCGCAGCTACCCAGAGCTTGTCAGCTGTGTAGCGTGAACCCATCGCATGGAGATTTTCAGGCTCAGGCAATCGCCGCGTGCAAGAATTGTTCGAGCCAAAACACGGCGTGACAATCAAGTTATGCTGAAATAAGCAGATATTTATTGCGAGTAGGGCTGCAGTCTTTCGGGGGGCGTGTTGGATCGAAAACAGCTCGGATGGAATCGCGTCGCAATCCGGTTCAGCTGCGCGCTCAGTGGAGAAAGCCGGTGCTAGTTGTCGAGGCTCATTCATGCCAAGCCATTAGCTCAAGTCTTCGTCTCGCATCAACACGGTACACGTCAAATCCTCGCTGGCGCCGATCGGGGAGAATAGACAAGAGCGTCAGTGGACAGACTCTACCGGGCCGTCAGAACTCTATGGTACCCGCGACATCCTGCCAGAGTTGCAAGGAAACAACACCCTTGCAACGCATCAAAACACACGGTACTTGCGCTGATAGCCAATGCCGAGTTCACTCCGCAAAAGTCAACCAACACATACATCGCCAAGGTAGTGCAGCTATGCGCAGGTTCACGATACCAAATGGCCCACAAACTGGTTCATCAATGGTCGATTCTGCCTGGAATCAGGAACGACACGCCATGCTCGCCGCCCATGTATAGCACGCCACACGTACCCTCGAACGCATCAAGACGAGACACGTCAAACGTAGCGGGCGATGACACCGCCGAGCACGACTCATCTCAGTGATAAGTATCGCGACTCGACCTCCTTCGGACGGATGTGCTCAAGGAGGTCTTGGCGCGCTCAACCCGCGAGAAGAGCGTAGACACAAGCAGGAGCATCTTACTTCGAAGAGCTAGCTAGACTTGTCCGGACGAGCACCCGTCAAGCTTGACTCGAACGCTTTTCTTTCCAAGAGCAGCGTCAAGTATCGCGGATCATTCATTGCAGGCACCATCAAGAACACTTATTATGGGTTTTGTAATCAAATTCGGAGCTAAAGCTATCGCGTTGTGTGGGTACAAAGAGATGGGGATACAGGTGAGAGCATTACCAGTGGCAGGGGGCGCATGGAGAATAAAACACAAGGAGATGGGAAATGTCGGCGGGCAAGATGGGAAACGCAAGGGGATGGGAAATGTCGGTGGGGAAGATGGGAAACGCAAAGAGAGGGGGTACATCAGCGACAGATACTGAGCCCACGCCATCGAAGCCTGTACCGCCAGACAGTTGGCGGCATATCCTCCGCCTAGGCTTCATCCATGGGCTGATCCGCCGCTCCAAACTCTTCCTCCGCTCCAAACTCTTCCTCCGCTCCAACCTCCTCCTCTGATCCAACCTCCTCCTCCTCCGATCCAAACACCTGCTCCTCCGATCCAAACTCCTCTCCCACAGCCACAGTTGCTTTCTTCTTCCACACAAGGAGCGCCTCGATGCTAGCGGTCATTGCCTCTATCTCTTGCTTGAGCGTCTCGGCCAGTCGCTGAGAGGCACCGGCATCATCGCCATCGCGGCTGTGCATATCGTTCAACTGAGCGGTGAAGTCGTCGAGTCTGTCACCAAGCTGGGCCTGTCGAAACCTGATACGCACTCCATCGGATACCGAGGCTTGACGCGCGGCAAGCCTATCTCCAAGCAGGTCCTCCAGATGGACGATCCTGGCAAGTAGGGTCGCGTTGAACTTATCTAGGACAGCGAGGCGTTTATTTTCGTTGGCGATGACTTCGTCTTTGCTAGCGATGATGAGTTGTACGTTTTCCAGCATCGCTTGGCGAAGATTGAGAAGATTGTCCTTGTAGCTGATGTACGCGTTTTGGTGGTTGATAAGATCGTCCTTGTGGCTGATGTACGCGTTCTTATGGTCGATAATCGCGTTCTTGCGGCTGATTATCGCATTCTTCTGGCGGATCATCGCGTTCTTCCTGCGGATCATCGCTAAAAGCGGCCGCGTAAGCAAAGCCGAAAGATAACGCTCGACGGCGTTTGTAGGGGTTGGACCGACGGAACTCATGTTGGGGTTGTGTTTGTTCTCGCAGGCCTTGGTGTTGGGATGATGTGGATTTGGAAGTGAAGAGAAGTTTGAGGGTTGTGGATGCCGAAAGAGGCACTCTACCTTGCTTTTATTCAAACTGTAGCCAGGTCGGAGAAATACCAGGCAGCAAACTTGCAAACAAACGACGTCAAGTTGCCAGAAGATTCTTGTTTGTCTGAACAATGGGTGGGGCAGAGAGTGATACAGAGAGTAACACGGCGTTAGTGTCACGGGTAGCAAGCCCACCTCTCCTGCAAAGTGCCGCAGCTGCACACTTGGCAAAGGCGATTTGGGTCCATTAGAATCCATTCGTCCGGAGAATGAGTGGGGGGAGATTGCGAACGTCGGTCAACGGGAAGAAGATGTTTTGACGACATGCAGATACTGCCTTCCGCGCCTGAGCCGCCGTATAACGTGACTCGGACAACTACATGCCTTCACGATACCGCAAGCAGAATTGTTCACAATCCAGCCGGTTAGCGGCTTGATTGCCAACCTGCCATGCTGAGGGACTTGCACGTCTGCACGGAGCATGTTATAGTACGTGCACGCCTAAACTGGAAACAGAATTTGCTAATCGGCTTGCTTGGTTTGAGTGTTGACATGTCTGATTAGTCTTAGTCTGCAGGGACACCGCAGTTGTCAGCTTTGTGGCAATCTTCTTCGGGGAAGGGGCTTTTGCCCCGCAAACTTGTCCGAGATTTGGTCGTAGATGGTCCTCTTGTGATGCGAGAATCTCGAGTCGGCAATGTTTGGTGATTTCAACGCTGTTGTCTGCAGCGTTGTATTAGCTCCGCTCAGTATCGAATCTAGATCGGCAGAGACTTGGCAGGTCTTTTGTTGAAGTAGGTGTTAATAGTCTGGAGCCGATTGTCGATTTGCTCTCGCAGAGCAATATAAAAGTGCCATCTTGGGAACTACCCAAGAAGTGGACCGTACGTCATGTACCTCAATCTCAGCTATATTGTGCTCAATCTTTGCTCTCTAGTCTGCTGCGTTACCATCTCTGCATGTGTACGATCCAAAGGCTGTGAATACATGTTGCTTGAAATTCTCCAGGATACACCGAAAGGTGCTAGAGCGCAGGTTTGCAGCACTTAAACTGGTGGAGATATCCACGTACCAATCTCTATCTTCACACGTCAACGCGCGCCAGACGACAGGTGCGCTTCCGCACTTCTGCGTATGCAGTAAAAGCAAATCGCTTGTGGACGGCGGAGACCGCGAAGAGCTATATGAAGGCGGAGATATAGTCGAGTACGGCAACGCGGCCAAGATGACGACTTTGCGGCCCAGAAAAAAAGGTCTATTTAATGCGCAAGCGACGTCGCAAGTCCCAGAGCTGCCATACCGAGTCCTTGAGTTTGCGCCCTCAACTGCATCCCCAGAAACCTCACCACCGTACGGAAGACGACGCGCCATTGTACCTACACGACTGCATCTTCGCCTGCGCACTACCTCTGAAGGGCCGGTTCGGTGGCGCTTTACGAGTCATGCCATGCGTATCGCAGGTGCTTGCCATGTGTTGCTGGCGTGTTCTGCAACGTGGCGAGACGTTGGACTGGACCTGCTCGCGAAACCGTGGCACGTCTTGCAAAACCGCGAGACACCTCGCTCGTACCCCTTACTTGACGCTATTATAGGTAGCCTTGATCGCATCGCCCAAGGCCCGGTCCGGTCCGTTTCAACGGTGTCTAGGGCTTGTCGCTAATCTAGGCGACACCGATCAGCTCGGTGGGCGCCAGATCGCCGCTGACGACGCGAGCACATCGCATGATTTATGCCTACCACAAGGCAAGGAACCCGCCCAAGCAGCCAACCCCGCTATATCTCCCCAGCTGACAGCTCGAAATACCATTCTCGCTTCCGTGTCAATCCCGGTCACCGTGGGAATTTAGATCTGCGCCACAGGAAGATGTTGCACTGGTAGCATTCCGCCCTGGTGCGTTGTCTTTGTCAGCGCTTCTTTCCCGGAGTTGCTATATTCGCGAATTACAAGGTGCAACCAAAAAAGGGCGACGGGGCGGGCCATGAAAATTGTAGGATCATGAGCTACACGTGTTGTGCACAATGTTTTGACCGAACTCGTTGACGGTGATCTCCATTTGGCTGGCTACGATTCTAATCAAACGCTCAGCGAAGGGTTTCCTCGTCTTGCATTCCAGAGCGGATGACATGTCTGGGTCCAGTCGTCGCGTTATGAGTCTGGATATGATGTCCGCTTCCCACAATGACCGGTGCCCATGGAGAGCGGCAGAAGGCGAGTGATTGCCCGATACTTTGGCTTGGAGGCGTGGACAAGGTCCTTTGGTATGTTGAAGCATTCGCCTCGACGATTACGGCGTTTTTGGCACGTCGAAAGATGGCAGCTGGGATCAATAGAGCCAACTGCTTGCGAGTGTAAGCACCTGAAGCCAACAGGAACATAAAGTGACTAGTCAATTGAAGCACAAGAGCGAGATGTGGTCGGCAACAGTATTCGTACACATGGAGTGAGTGACTTACAAGCGTGTTGTAAAGCTACCAGCACCCGTGGCCACGAGACTTCGTTTTTGACAGTGTTGGACGTGTGTCTGGTTCTGGAAAGCGAGTTAGTGGTGTCTCAGACTTTGCGAGAGGGCGGAGGAAGGAAAGACGTGCCACAATATTGAGCAGGTCGATGGACGATAGTCCTGCATCTTCTGTCCCAATGTCAAAGCATGGAGTGAGGGTGATGTATGCCATCCGATCCGCGATGGGAAGCTGAACAGGCCGGGCTTTTGGCATGATGTACTCTTCTGGTGCGATGAATGTGGAGCTACCGGGCGCAATGGAATACATCAAGGGAGGCTTAGAAGCAAGGGATAAAGTATAAAAGAGAATGCCATCATGGCTTCGGACTGTTAGTACCGGCATAGATTGCGCATTTATAAGTGCCAAGGGTAAGGAAAGAAGAGGAAAAGGTTGGCGCATCTCCTCTCTCGCACTATCTGACAGGATCCGCCGCCACGCGATAGACTTGGCCTCCCTGTAGACCAGCGACATCGACTCAACAATCCAAATCCCATCACGCCTCTCGTAAACGCAATGTACATGCGCTACTTTGTAATGGTCCCTTCGCTGCACACCCTCAGTCCTTTAGCCCTCATCGCCCTCTGCAGCAGGCAAGTCAATCATTGCCTTGAGGTCCACCACGGCGTCTTTATCCGGCCAAGTCAGCAGCTGAACGCAAAGCATTATCAGCCATATCCTCGCGTCTGCATCTCGAGGGATAACGAATTCGTTCAAGAATGCGTCAATTGGCCTGCACATTCCAATGATCGCCAACAGTTCGTGTGCCTTGACCAACGTGTTCTTGAGGTGGTGGATGGGGACCTGGTCCATCTTGGATGTGTCTTTGTGGACCTCGATGGTCGGGACCTTCCTCTTGATCTTGAGCATCTCCGCTGTTGAATCGTCTTGATGATGTTGTCGCCCAGGCAGGCCAGGTGTGGCGGTCGCCCAAGGGGTGGAGTTGGTCCCAGTGGCATGAGCGACAGAGGTAGGTTGGAGTAGAACGAATGTTGACAACGCAAGCCAAGCGAGGAAGAGTAAATTGCGCATGGCGGAAGCTGCGTCTGATCACTTGCTAGTCAGTTGATCCCGGCTTAATGAGCAAAGAGATATGGTGCTTACCGTTAGGGGAGAAGTTTTGAAATGTACAAAGTGTGATGTCTGGTAACTTTCGTTGAAGTGCGGTTGAAGGAACCAAACGAGAAACACAGACTTTTCCAATAAAGCCCATGCCGTCCATATCCCATCTTCCCTCAACTACAGACCAAACAGCGGTGTAAAGTGTCAAACATGCGTGGCATGGAGCTGCGCAGCTGGTGGCATGCGGGCATCCGCAACCTCAAAAAACGCGACCAATCACACGACGGATTGGTCAATGTGCCGGCAGTACAGCAGTCATGCCATTGCTCAATGGACTACCAGGTGGGTACGTGGATTTGAGATGCTAGTTGTTGTTGTCACGTACCACCGAAATGGAAGCTGGGCCCGACGATCAATTGTCGTTGCATCCTGTTGATGTTGAGCGGGAAGAGAGTGACACCCCTGTAATTAGCGCCTAGAGATGGCGATAGGGCTGCAAGTACGATACTCTCTGGCGGGGAAGGGACGCGAGCCGGGGAAGTGTGCAGAAACGCTGGGCGCAGGGAACGGGGATCAAAGAGCACAACCGACAGCACAATTGGACTCGTAATGTAGACCATGTACGTGATCATAGCCAGAGCGTCTTGGCCTGTCACAGTGATTTGCTTGCGTGCGTGCCGCCGTATAGCAGTGCCGCATTGATGTCTGTAGATCAAGGCACCTTCGGGATCCTCGACGATGACGCGACTAAGCGGATTTGCAAGAGAAGACTACAATGGCACGGAGACACAACATATGAACAAGTACAGATTGAAGATCGATAAAGCCTCTGCTACTCGAGAAAAATAGAGGTAGTCGAGCGCTCCGATGTTGCGATGATGGACGCGGATGCTGCAGAGACATGGACAGCTTCCTGTCCGTGATGAGGGGTGAGTTGTGAATCTTTCCAGACCAACGTATCCTCTTTGCTCTGCTAAAAGATCACTCATGCTGGATTCCTGCAAACAGGGTCCGAGAAAATGATTGAACGGGGTATCAAAAGTTGAACGGGAAAGGGAAGGGGCCAGGGCAGAGCCATAGGATGGGAACTGGGAGTTTGAGAGTTGCCGGCTTGGCGAGGCCAGGCGGGGCAATGTGATCGCTCAATCGCCGGTAGGAGAGGCAGACGCATGCCGACTTGAGCCACCCAAGCAGCGTGCTTGGTTGTGTCGGGAGACTTGGTGAGGCCGTCTGCCGCCATCTCCGCGGTGGGGACGTGCGTGAGCTTGATCTTGCCGTCCTTGACAGTGTCCTTAAGGTTATAATAATAGACATTAACGTGCTTCTACGATCATGGTGGCCTTCTGAAGCGACCGGGTCGATAGAGGGCTGAAGGAGCGCGGCGTCGTCGCCAACGTAATTGAGCTGATGGAGCAGGCGCACAAGCCACGAAGCTGCTTTCGCACAAAAGGTGGGGCCAACGTACTCCGCCTCAGTAGTGGAGGTAGTAACGAGCCGCTGCTTGCTTGACTTGTGGCAGATAGTGCCGCCAGTGAACTTGAAGACGTCGCGTCGGCGGGCGACTCGTAGCGCTTGATGAGGGACTTGCAAGTGTAGAGGTAGTCAACAATCTGCAGCACTTACACGTAGTGCTCATTGTTGGGATTGGCCATGGCGCGAGCGAGGTAGCCGACAGCAAACGATATATTGATGCGCAGCTGTGAGGCCGGGTAGAGCAGGCGGTCAATCGGTGATTGGTAGCGCTGAAGGGAGCTGTGGTCGCACACGTCGTCAGCGCGGCGGAGCTGGAGCTTCAGCGCCTTGACATCGATCGGATTGTGGCGAGTACTTGGCCGTGATCGTAGTCCTTGACGAGATTGTGAATGTATGACTCCATGCTGAGCTCGACAGCGGGCGCGCTGGGCGTATCGACATCCCCAAGTAGTGGGAGATGGGACCGAGGTCGCGGCACTTGTGCGAGGTGAGCGACGGAGGCCGTAGACCGCCTTGCTGAGGGCAGCGTAACGACCGTCGGAAAGCTTGATATAGATAACCTCATCTTCGTCGAGCTTGCCGTCAAGAAAGGCAGTAACGACGTCTGCTTGATCGCACTCCAGGCCCAGTGCCGCCACCATAGCGAGCAGAGTCTTAAGGGTAGTAGCGCGAGCAACTGCAGCATACCTCTCACGCCAGAAGTCGTTGTCTTGGCGGTTACCGCAGATGACGAGACGCGCCTTAAAGCGTACCAGCTTGCCGGCGTCGTCGAACTTGTACTTGTATACCCACTTGGTGGGGAGAGCGCGGTGGCCGACAGGGACGACAACGACGATGATCCACGTGCCGTTCTCCTCGTAGGCGAGGTACTCAGCGCCCTCGGCGCCGAGCCACTCCGTCGAGTACTTGTGAAGGCGTGCCTGCTTCAGTTTGTTTGGCTCGGGAGGGAACTTGTCGGTAACCCGGTCGCTCAGCATGGCTGAAGCAAAGGCGCGAGCGACGCGGACAGGCGCTTGTGGTTGGGGAGGGCGATCACCGCGGCAAGAGACACGATGTTGCTCGCAGTCAGCTTGCGGGAGCGCTTGACAGATGGATCGAGGATGTTGCGCTCGTTGAAGCCAGCGGAAATATCCAGGTGGCGAGGCGCCTTGGAACGGCGCAAAGGCGTCAAGTTATCGATAATGGTGCTGTTGTGAGGCCGTCAAAATGATGGCCGAGGCCCTGTTCCGGCAGCTCGAAATCGTCCTCCCGCGCATCCTCCCGCGCATCCTCGTCGGACGGCCGCGGCGGCGATGCTGGCGGCGATAGAGGTAGGACTCGTAGTGGCCCAGGAGCGCAGTGGCGCGCTCGATAGAGGCGTCAAGCAGGTCGTCGCAGGAAGCAAAGGTAACGCTGCTGGAGCGCGCGACCTTCTTCGCAGTTGGGTCCCACATCATATAGATGCGAGGACCCTCGCGACCGACAAAGTACATCTTAGTGGCGCGCGGCGCGAACTTCTCGCCTCGGACGCGACGCTCCCTTGGTATATAGATCCAGCCAGGATCGCCAAACTTGCGGAAGGTGCTGAAGTTGGGGACTGGGTTGGCGGCGGCAGTGTGCTCGAGCAGCAGCGGCTGCGGAGTCTTGTCGTCCGGGACGGCCGTTGTCGAGTAGTGATTCAGCAGCTCGGCTGCATACGTCGCGGCGAGTGGCGAGCGGCCACAGCGACTGTGGCAAGTGTGGGGCAGCGGTGACCATGGCGCGCACGCGTGCAGCCTCGAGGCGGTTGCTGGTCTCTGGGACACCATTCTAGTGGTCCACGTACGGCGTAGACAGCTCAAAGCGAGTGCCTTTGCTAGCCAGCTTCTCAGTAGCGTTCGTGTTGATAAGTACTAGGTCGTTGTCCGTGTGGATGATAGCTACCTAGACGCCGTACTGTGTCTTGACAGTGACGATGTAATCAATGAGAGAGCGACCGAAGCCCTCCTTGGCAGGCGACAGGTCAATAGAGCGGTGGCAGACAAGGTCGTCAGTGTACAAGCTCCAATAGCGCTCGCCGTTCAAGCCAGGTGGGGAGATAAGGCCGGCGAGGTCGACGTGTACGCGCTGGAAGAGGCGCGTGGCGCGGTCTGGGACGACGCGCGAGATTTGGAGGCGTGAGTTGCTGATCATGCAGACCTCACAGGCAAAGCGCGACGTGTTTGTCGGTTCGATGCAAGTCGTGGTCGCTGCGAGCTTGCGTAGCTGGTTAACGTCGGTGTGCCCGAAGGTCTCATGAAGCTCCTTGCGGGTTGGAAGTACATGGGAGCTGTGACTACCATGCTGCAAGACGAAGGACATAGCGCGAACAGCGCTTAACAGGTCATTCTCGTCTTCGACTTGCAGCAGATTCGGCACGCCGTCAATGTCGGGCGTGTACGCGAGCTCGAGGTCGTCGGCCGCGCGATAGAGCTTCTCCCTCCAGCCGTGGCAATAGCAGCCCTTGGCGCGCACCATCCTGTGAGAGAGAGAGACAAACATGTCCGGTGCGTACAAAACGCCACTGAACGTGAGGGCATTGATGCCGCTGTCGGCGCGGAGGACTGCGAGCTTGATAGTGCCCGAGGCCTGGACCTCGACCATGCCGCCACCTGTCTTGATAGAGCCATGCTGATGCGACGCGTACCAGCTGACAACGCGGTCATAGGTATTGCAGATGTGGTCGTTTGCGCCCGTGTCGAGGATAGTGCGGTCCTTGTAGTCAGCGCGGCCGCGAGGCGCTTCGTCTGCTCTGGAATCTCAGAGACGTGGCCATCGCTAGGAGCGAGGCAGGTGAGGAGGAGCGGTACAACGCGGTTGCTGTTGCGGCTGCTCCGACATGGAGAAAGCGGCAAGTTTGGTGGAGGAGCTGTTGGTCCTGGCAGCGACGTCTGAATCCCGCTTCGCCTTGATATGGGGCGGGGCAAGGTGGGGAAAAGACACTCGGCAGAGCTCGTTAGGGCCGGCATGCTCGCGCCTGCAATGCGCGCAACAGCTCGTTGGCGTAGGCCCATGAGGAGATTGTTGAAATGAGTAGGAGCGGGAGTTGTAGGCGACGTTGTCATCGTCGGGGGAGCTGGCTGTTGCCCACCTCGTCCACCACGGCCTCGGCCACGACCGCCACCGCCTTGGTTGTTAATGTCGTTGCCTTGCTGCTGATTGTTGCTAGCGAAGGCAGTCTTAACTATGTCGTCGCGGCGAGACTCGTCGTTGAGTTCTTTACCGACCGCGTCAAGTGTGGGCTTGCGCTTTGACCGAAGGCCGCGACAGATAGAGCGCGCGTACTCAGGGTAGGTGTCCGCGATCGCGAAAATGAACTGGTACAAAACGCCCGCGGTAGGTAGCCCTAGCGACAGGTCCTGAAGCCTATCAAGGCACATGCGAAACCTGTCTGTGAACTTAACAGTAGTAGTACAGTCAACGCATCAGAGCTTGAGAAAATCAGCTCACGCAGTGCAGGCTTCGGTGAGTCCTGCCTTCTCAAAGCGAGCAAGAATGTCTTGCCATTTCTGTGCTGCTGTGTCGTGGTTGTCGATCGCCTGTCAGATATCGGTGAGGAGCGACTGCAGAAAAGCCATGTCGAGGTAGGCGTCGAGACGCTGCCAGAGCCTCAGCTCTACGTGCGCACGCTTGTGCTTCTCCACGACAGTCTTGTTGTTGCCCTGAAATTTTAATCGAACGCCCTACGATCGGTCATTATCGTGAGCGAGGGTTCATACGTCGATCGGTTCCTGCGGCTTGAGGAGGCCGTCCTTGGTTGGTTTTGGTGGCTCCAAAACGTCGCCTGTAAGGGTGTTGAAGGCCATGAGCATCTGCGCGTACATGATAACAGCGGACTTCCATTTCTTGAAATTAGAGCTGTGAGCGTTGAGTTTAGGGACGTTGTTGGAGTCGGAAATGTCAATAATGGCGACGTCGGACGGGTACTAGGGTAATGACGTGGAGCGGCGCAGCTGACTGGCTAACGCTGCCGAAAACAGAGAGACATAGTAGCAGGAGTTATATTGAAAAGAATGTAGCTTTTTATGTAAAGACTCGATTCAGTTTTCGAAGTTTGCATTGTATTGTATTAGAATCTCGTGCGCTATTCCTGGTCAGTCACCGTGGTACGACGTTTGCAAAAACCTTATATAATCTTGACTTTGACGTCCCAAAGCTTTTGATTACTTGCTCATCACTTCAGGTGATTTCCATATTCTTACACTGACCGATTCTGAACGTCATCAGAGCTTAGGGTGATATGTTACAACGTCAAAGACAAGATCGATCACCTAGAGGTCTGAAGCGTTTTAACTGAAAAGGGATTGCAACTCACCAACATCATTACTCACGTGCCGTTCATGGCGCGACCTCAGTGACATCGCCCCTGCATCCACTGTACTTCTCTTTGTCCTTGTATTTCCGTGCTCACCGTCTTGCCTAATGCCACATCCCAAGGAGGGCGAGGAACAACAACAGAAGCTGGATCCGAAGTCAAGCCCGTGGTTATTGTGCTGTGTGTGGACTGATCGCTGAGGATAGTGCGACTGTGAAGTTCTGTAGATACCTTATTGGCTCAAGTCAAGAGGATCCGGACGGAGCGGGAAGGGACCCGCCGGGTCCTTTAAGCACCAAGTTTGAAAAGAGAAGTATAGATGTATAAGCCGAGCGCAGCGGACGCTTACCCTATAGATTTATACGCGAGGTGTGTACTAACGATCCCTGAGGTCTTATGCCACCCGAGGTTTTGAATTGCCTGGCCTCTCTTTCTGGCCGTTTCGATCCCGCGCCCGTTTTCTATGTCAGATGCGTCGCCTTCATGGCGGAGCTCGATCCTACTGGTTCGGCAAGTACAGTCTCATTGCTCGTCATGCATCTCCTCTTCCACGTCGCTGACATGTCTGATGCATGTCAATGGGCGTCTCGGGCTCGTTCCAACTTGTCGGCGGGAACCAACCCTATTCCTCTCGATGAAAGCGATGGATTGGACGATTTAGAATGGTTCGACGCAGTACGCCTGCATCCTCCCGCACGCCTCCACTTTGACAATGGCACAGACTTTATCGCAAACATCAGATTATGGCGCCGGATTAGCTCCCGCTACGCATTCCTGGCGGGCCAACTGGGTTGAAGTGAACTTCGCAATGGACTTCCTCAATCCTGCAGCCATGTGGGGACGCTCTCTGGGCAAATATCAGCATGGCACAAGTGAGAAGCTAGCTATCGTCACTTTCTTGCCTTCTTCCGTATCTGGCATCCTAGCAAGCCCATAAGGAAACAGGTAAGCCGCAGGCCTGATAATGGCGAGATCAATCTTAGGCACGGCATCTTTCCGGACAGCCTGTCCACTGATCGCGAATTTGAGATGGCATTGAGCACGGCAAGCTTACGAAAGGAACTAAGCTTCTTGCTCTCCTTGAGCGAGCGCCCAAAGAAGTGCAGACGAAAACTGTAGACGATCAGAGCACTGCGCTTGAGAAGCGACTAGACGGAAAAGGGGCGAAAAAGTACGTACAATTGATCAACCTCGAGGGAATTACCCGATCTCTACTTGCCAACACCGAGGGGAGAGCAGGTCCCATTCGGCCTAGCCACTCTGCAAACTGCGACACTTTGTGTTTGACTCCGAATCCCTCGCGCAAGTCCAGAGCCGTACCCCAGTCGTGAAAACTTCACATCTACTTCGTTGTTCAGCGATGGCCGATTGCTGAGTGACAATCATCTCTTTTGTTTTCCATTGCGACCAGACTTTGAGTCCAGAGCAGTACCCTAGTCATGGAAACTTCACATCTACTCCGTTGTTCAGTGATTGCTGATTGCTTAGTGACAATCATTTGTTTTGTTTTCCATCGCTGCCAAAGGTTGCTATTCCTGTCTTTGTCAAAGGGTTTGCTTCAACAAGCGGTCGTGCACAGCGCCTTCTTAGTCTCATCAGATTCATTGTTCCTTGAATCTACCGCATTAACCGAGCAACAGCCCTTTGTTCCACGAAGGATCCTTCGAAGCAGTATCACCGCAATTCTGTTTGTTAGTCTCGGTACTGATTAGCAAGCCCGTTGTATCCCAAATCCTCTTATATCAGCTCACGTCTCCCGGCGATCCTCCCTAAGAGCTGTCGTCGACTCGGCCAATATCCCGACTAAGCCAAGGTGAGGAGAATACAGGAAGTACCCGAGCCCTGCAGATTACCACAATCCAAGGAGACCACGAAGTGCTGGAGTTCGTGCGGTCGATATAATCACAACACAGGACATCGTACCAGACGCAACGGGTCTCTTCGTCCGCCGAGGCCCTTACAAAGACGGCGACCGCTGCAAGCTCTTTTCGGCTGGACCACCAAGTTTCCGCTCCATCTCTTCCAAATCATGCTGCCCTGCGCCAAATCCAGTCTGGAATCCGTGGAGCTTTCCGTAAAGCCAGCCAGAAGCTTCTGAACCACGCTCGTCTTCACCCTCGGTATCTTGGACGCTTTGCCTTTTCTCATACTAGCTGGACTCCCTTCAACCTCCGACTAGACACGATGCCTTCACACCATCGGTTATATACACACGATTAGATCCTGGACATGACGCCTTCACACCGTCGGTTATATACGCATGGTTAGAATCTGGACATGACGCCTTCTGCTATCTATACGACTGCTAGTTCTACGTCAAGTTTCGGCAACTAGCAGTTGATACCCCAAAAATATTGGTTGAATCGCGCGATCAAGAATAGGACCTAGAAGCCCTTAAGATATGATTAATTACAGCTGCGCAGTCTGACTATACCGCCTGCTGCGCAAATGCTGACCTAAACGTCAATAACACACTCTTACGTCCATAGACGCGTGTGTGTATACAGGCAGTCAAGAAGGTGCGAGCAGTTGGAAAGACTGCACCATTACACTGCCATCGCTACTTCCATGCCATGGACCACTCTGTCGGAAAGTAAGCAGCAGGCTTTACAAACCGAATTACGCGTCGCTTGCAAGACAAAAATGCGAGTGAATTGTGGAGAGTGGCGTCAAGGTGCGGCTCAAGGCAGCAAGAAGAGGGCTGTACTTCACGCCAGTGGACGCACAGAGTTAGCAGTGTGGGGCTCGCTCCGTTGTGACCATACAAGGAGCCTGCCTTCTCTACAGTATATATATCTCGCCAATCTGCCTTCGAGTAAGACTATCTATCCTCACAACCACCACTTCGAACCTCAACAGCAACCACTCGACCAAACTATCAAGCTCAATATTGACATCAGCCTTGATCAAAATGGTCCAATTCACTTTCAACATCGCAAAGTGCCCACTCATCGACGTCATGCTTGCGCCGTCCAAGTTCGGGTACATAGCCACCATTCTGCTTCTCGTTGCGCTTGCCTACATCCGCCTACGGGTTGGATCGTTCTCCGCCGTCGCCCAATCCTTCAAGAGCATGATGGAAAACCTATCCATCGTCTTCATCTTGCTCCTTGCCGTTGTTTCGTACAGCCCGATGATGCTGACGCCCATGGGCGCAGAAATTGGGTTCGACCTCATCACCTTCCCTCTATTGGTTATAACGATGCTCGCCGTCCATGCATTTGCCTCATTGACGGGCTTGTTGGTAATTACTCTCTTGGTAACTTGGCCATTGGTCGTTATTGCCATCGTACTCAAGACAGTCTGGCTTGTCTTTCGACTGTGCAGCCGCTTGTGTGAAGCCTTGCGATACCTCCACCAGCTATACCAAGAGATCTCACTCCGGCTATTTAACTGGCTCCAAGGCAACACTCGCGGGACTGCCGTATCCTATATCAAGGATCAGTGGACTGGAAACCTTTTCGCAGGCTTTGGGGTTGTACCCATCGCGGCTACTTACCTTGCTCTCTACATCGTCACAGTAATATCTATCCGGGTGTTCGAGCGGGCGCCGACATACACTCCTATGGGGCCGCCGACAACGTCCACTGACTTCACCTGTGGTTACTATGGAAGTGGTCTCGGTAGTTCCGGCTGGTGCAGTAAACATTAGTGGCCCTTTGCACAATTATGTACTCCCAGGTGTGCAACGCTCAGTTAGATCCACGCAGTAGGCTGTGGACATCTTGGCATTGACGCGTCTGTTGATAGTATCAATAGGATGAGAATGAAATCGCTCGACTCTGAATTGCTCCAAATGAAATCATCGTATTTATGTTTGCCCAAAAGTCTAACAAGATCGCCGTGAGATTGTAGCTCCAGGCAGCTTCGCCCTGAACCTCTTCGTCTTCTCTACCTTGTCACTGATTGATGCAAAGTTGATTCCCCCGCGTCTCCGTCTATTCCATAGCTAATTCTCCTTCACCTCTCGCTGCGTTTTTCTGCTTTGGTCTTTCTTGTCTCCCCTCCAAGCTATTACGTCATTGGCCCACTACCCTGCCAAAACATCCATTTCCTTGCATCCGCCAACTTTCACGATCGCTCACAAGTCTCTATTACAACGCGGACCGCCGTATCCGTTATCCACTACACGATGATTTCGCTGTCCTTGTCTTATTTTGTAATTGTGACAAGCCGTATGAAATGCAGCTATTGCACTGTGATATCTTGACAATACGCCACAGCGCAATTTGCCTAAACGCGTTACACAAAGTTCAGCCCTTGAACCCTCGACGCTCGGCTCCACCTCGGACCTGGGGATGCCTTTTCGCGTAGCAGGCGCGTTGTCCGGGGACTATAGTCCCGCACCATTGACAACGCTCAGCAACGACACGGGAATGCGCTATTGCGTGGCCTGGTATGAGATTCGTACACAACGCTTCTGCGCGACAAATGCTGACTTGCTATTCGCACCATCAGGGGCCAACCACGCGACGACTCATCTGGGCGTGCTCTCAACTGGGTTCTGTAATCAATCTCTCCTATCACTTCGCCACGAGCATTCTCACAATGGAGACGTCCGCAGACTGGTTGGCGAAGCGCCTCAACGCGCCTTCCCAATCAAAAACTTCGATCCAGCATGGAACTTGTCATACTGTGACTCCCACGCCGCCATTCTAGTGTTGCACGAGTAGGCGGACAACAATGGCAGATATTGGGCATTGACCTAATGGTGTAGGAGACCGCCATAGCTCGGAGAGGGTCTATACGCGCGAGTAGGTGCAGGCGTTCGGTGGGAGTCATCGCGTGGATCTCCTTGGTTTCTTCAAGACTACTTGGGCAGTCAGACGTCCGCCGCGTGCCGAACGACATTCCGCACCGCGTGCTGACAGCCAAGGATCATAAGTATGAAGCACTTTAACGGAGAACATCTGCTGAATACCATCGAGAAGGGTCACCGAAGCATGGAAAGTGATCACAAAGAAAACACCAAAGAGTATCATTACATATTTCCAGCTTCCGCAATCGGCTGAGCAAGGGTCCGCCTTGGAGTCGCGGCTCATTCATTCATTGGACTGCGTTAGCTTTTGCCCCAGCTTTGCACCAAATGGACGGGCGATCTGCGTAACTGTTCCACCCCATACAGCCGCCACGTACATGCACATTGAACCCTCCCATACCAGATGCTATGGGCATGACAGACCAAGCAACATCGCCGAGTCATCCGACGGCCTCCAATGAACGGAACAAATCGGAATGTAGGAGACAACAACGCAAGGCACGAGAAGGACCTGCCATTCTGGCCATCTTCTTTTTTCAAGGAATAAGGCCCACGTATTCAACTTGGAGCAAGGCCGATCGTTCAAGCAAAGATGTCTGAGATCGGGGATGCGAGTTACAAAGAGGTAGGGGCCGATACTGATACCCATCTAACGCGTCCAGGCCGCCTTCCTCCAGTCCCAACATGACAACTTCTCCCCGGAGTCTGTACTGCCGAGCACCGAGCAAACCCCGCACGACACGCACAGTTCGGTAATCGGGGCGTAGGCGGACAGACTGTTTGATACAGGATAATCTATTTCAGGCTGCGCGGCAGGCCTGTACGATATATACTATTCTGCAATGCATGATCAATCGTTGATTGATCATTGTATCCTTTTTAGATGCATGGCACATTGAGTACAGACCTGCTTTCTGACACTCCACGCGTGAGTATTGAGGTGCCTGGTCTGGTACGGGCATACCTAGTGGTCCTTTTGGTGGTATATCACGTCGAATGTCCGCGACAGATACGCAGCTCTCGGCCAATGTACATTGGAAACCTTGTACGCGCTGCAAGTTTCTCTTGTGGCAATGTGTAAAGTAGCGACCATGGACTAATAGGATGATGTTGTGGTGAATGCGACACCATTTAACCAACGACGCGTCTACCACTGTATGCAAGTGCCTTGCACCATCGTGTTTCCTGTAGCAACACTACGCGTCACTGCGTATCCTAGACAATCTTCGCCCGTGGTCCTCCTTCAGCACCCGCAACGAACATGCAACGTGTTTTCTAACGAGATTGCCGTCTAGGCATCTTTTCACGCTCGACGCGCAACACGACAACCTCCTATACTGTTGATCACAACAGAAGACAGCTCTCATGTACTTTCCTTTCACGAGGCAAAATATCCTTTTGAATCATACCAGCGTGCCGCAGAAGCTAGCGATTAGCAAATCCCAGCGTATTCGACCCCACAAATTTCAACTTTGCCTGTAGACGCTTCACCTCGGGCGAATACGCGGAAAGTAATCACGCTCATAAAGGGCACGAGGAAGTAATCTTCATCCCAACCACTGATTCAGGCGCTCATTCCGCGACGCTGAACAGGCCCAAGCCAGTGAGTTAACAACACCTTGGTTAAACCACTGACCGACATTCAGACTGGAGCCCCGCAAGAAGCTCGCAGTCGTCGCGCAATCTGTGTATCCTTCTGCTAAATAGTCACGCGCTTCGCATGAATTGCGCAGAGATTCACATTGTGAACGAGACTGACAAGGAATGCCTCGGTAGCTTCTTGTAGGGCCATCAATACCTGACTTTACCACTGTTCCGGATATCCTTCCGCTCTACACTCTCCGCGGTTCCTCTGACCTGGACAGGCGCAAGTCAGCACGTGAAGTGAGGATTGCATGTCAGTTGTTCTACAACTCGGTAGAATGGTGTTCGAAGAATGAGGAGATCGGACTTCTGGTATCGGCATATTTCCCGCAATGTGACAGTGACAGGCTTACAGCGCCATTTTGCACGGTCTGGCGCTGGGCCTGCCTGATCAGCGGCGCAATATGTCAGCCGTGTATTCAGACTCCACCATGCTCTCCTGGAGAAACATACGTTGCTTGCCCGAATCTCTGCGCCCAGTCAACGGGTTTCTAGTCGCAAGAGTGCCGCTACTGGGCTTGTAGGGTCTTTTCCCCAGTCTCGCGCTCGTCAGCCGTCTATCAAGACTCCAAAACGTTCTTCCTGGAGAAGCAAACGTTGTTCGCCTGACACTGTGCGCCCACGAGCCATGCTCGTAGTCGGAAACTGCTGTTCCTGTTGGCGGGATTGATCTTATGTCTCGTGGTTGGCTAATGAATCTATCGATTTCTTGTTGCGTTGGCGTGATACACTAAAATGTGACGTGGTCCTTACGAGGCGGGTTTGGATGAGGTAGACGAGGAGCACAGTGACAACAGAGTGGTGAGAGCAGTATCGGGAACCTGAAGATATACGTAGATGTAGGTGGCGTAGAATAGAGGGCGCCGCTTCGTCGATAATCTGGATGGCACCTACAAAGATACGTCAGGACGAAGCATTGGCTAAGCCGAATGAACCGCCGTAAGATCGTTTGCCAGTCTCCGTCTATGCGGCGCGGCGTCAGTGACACCTGCAAGATTACCTTATGACGAAGCCTCAATTGAGATCAACAAGGCCAATCAACGCTGCTGGCTAGTCTCAGCCTAGGCGATGCGGCTTCACGCCACATCACAGACTTTAGTCGAGTCGAACAATGTGAACAATGATACAGCGTTTGACGGCCCTGGGGTGATCGATGCTGTTCTGCGGTCAAGTTTAAAGACAGACGAGGACTGACGACAGAAACGCGAAGAATGCTCTCAACTTGTGTCGCTAAAGCGTATATGAAGACGGTAAGATGGAGAAATCAATACAAAGAAATTGTAATCTCCTTCAACACTGCCAAAACGGTCTGCGGAATTCTCGTAGCGAGCTAAGCTTCCGGTAAATCTACCCAGAAAATGATGCGATGATAATGTGCTCTCGGCGTCTGTACAGCACTGCGTGTTCTTGAGAATATACTTGGTCTTGGCAGCATTCTCAGGAGCAACGATCTGGCATGCGTGACCAGCACTTTAGTGGATGGCTGGCGAGATGATCTTAATAGAATACCGCTAGATCCATCATTTGAATGACTTACACTGAAGCTCGTTCAATGCTCTAATTTTATGTCCATGCATATATTCTAACGCCACATCTGCTAGCGGTCGATGTCTAAGATAAGCATCCCTTGAAATGTCATCAGCGCAACAGGGCGACTCGTCATTTCGGGTGCGAGAATAAAGGTCTAGAATTCTTTCAGTGGCTTACTACTATCATATTTGGTGCTAGTACTGATTGTGTACAGGTACTACCAGTCACGTGCTTGAAGTCCTGTGGTAGAAGACCATTCACGGGCGGAGATTCCTGCTAGCATCCAGTAGTAGGCAGCGAAGGGTTCTGCACAGTTAAGACCGTTATAGTATGGTATAGTTTGTATAATGCGGCCGCTGACTCATGCCTTGAGGCCACCTGTGGGTGAAGCCACGCCACGAAATCTCGTCACGCCCGTACTTCTTACATATGTATGTTTCCCGCTTCAGTCAGCCTATTCACCCTGATATTGCCTATAATCGCACTCCAGCTGAATCATAATAGCAACCCAACTTGACTCGCATCGTCTGTGCGCAATTGTCCGCCGATCTTAGCTATATCGCTCGCAGCTGAAAAGAAGCATGTCTACTCGCGGAGGAAATTACGCGAGTACGCCGCGCTCAGTACATGTAGGGAGACGAGACATTGGGGAGACGAGAATCGATTCATTATGTTGACATGAGTTTCTTTCGCACAATGTTGACCATGTTGCTGAAGCACTGTGCTGCCTGTGACGCCGTGCTTTTCCTAAGCGTATAGCCATCAATGATGTAATCACTGTAATCTGAAGTGACATTCGCTTATATGGCAAGCATAGAAATTACCACAAGGTGGTTCTGGGACCCTCTCTCGAGCGTACGCGACATTCTGCCCGCAAAATGTTACGGCATCACGCAACAAAAGGCATGCATATTTGCTGGCCGCTGTACAGCAAGAAAGTTAGCTTTTCTTAGCCAATTGAAACGGTGTCTTTGTTTCCTATATCCCATATCTTCCAGTCATGGAAATATGAGTACACTACATATCCATAGTCATGGATTGCGACACACACAATCGGTACCTGATGGGCACTTTGGATACGATTCTCGGAGTCCGGAACCGCAAGCTCGTAAGCGCTGCCTTCGCGGAGTATATGGTTTTCCCCACCGAATCAGCATTAAAATGACTGCTCGACTGTGATGCACTACAAGAAAACACGTTCCACATCATTGTCGCGCAACTCCACGGCCGTGGTGACCGCGATTACCAAGCTACATGTTTCCTACCACCTCTTTTCATCGCAAACTCATCAAACATGCGAGCTATGTCGTATTGAAACGACCACTCAATCCTCGTGGTTTCTTGGCTCAGTCGTCACTTCATATCGCAACCTAGACCTCGGGAGTTTTGCTATCACTATTACCAGAGGCTCGATTGGCTTAGCAAAAACCATGAGAGCAGCTTGATTTTTAGAGCCGCTGGTCGGTGGTCGACTTGATTGATTGGCTTGATGAGGCTTGAATATTGACAACTCTGCCTTGTATGATCGAGCAGCCTGGCTGTAAGCATTTGCGTCCGGATTGTCGCCTTCGCTCCCTAGCGGATTATCTTCAAAATCAAGCTAACTTGATAAGGTGAGTATGGCCAGCTTGTTGCCAGCCTTCTAAGAGACGATTTTGGACGTTCCTGGACGAGATCGCAACCGCCGTTGTTCCATGGCTATGCAAAGTAGCCGAAACCTTCCATGTAGAGTCTTCCGGGTCCAAGATATCTTGCAAAGCAGTCTTCTTACCATGATTCGAGTGGGGCGAAATACCGGAGAGCTGTGGATGACAGTCAACGATGACGCCTGCGAAGTGCTCCTCATACAATTCGCCGGACCGTGCGAAACGATTACAGTGTTTTCCACAGTTGCAAAGTTGGCAGACAAAGCCGATAGAGTTACGCGCCTCGCATATCTACAGCATAAGCAAGACGTTAATAGTGCAATGTCGATCGCGGCCTATACTGCTTTGAGGAGCTCGCGTTGCTGCGCTACACAAAAGTCACCGAGCCAAGGTCCATTTCTGAAGCCCTCAGACTTACCGCCCAGAACCCCTTCGTATACAAGACACAGGTGCACCAGGCCAGAAGACTAGGAGCCTCTAATCCTCTGGCCACTGGCTGTGATCGCTCTGCCCAACTCAAATGAAGCTTGAGCGTGCAGGACTTTGTTGTCACCACTGCACAAGGGCATCTAAGATTTACTGGGATCCCAGAATTTAGTGTCAGGCTCAGCTGTCACTTCACATCGCAACCTAGACCTCGAAAGTTTTGCTATCACTATCACCGGCGCCACTCTGCCTGCGGGAGCATCGTGGGTTGTTGTTCAGACCCTCGCAAATGTTTGTAGCACGCCCAAGCGAACACATGGCTAACCAAATCACGTCGAAAAAGATATTGCATTGGGGATATGAGCTGCATAATGTTTACATAGAAAACTATCCTTAGCCAAGTCATAGAAAACCCATCCACACGGACACCTTCGGTATTAGGGTAACATAATCAACAAAATGCAGAGGAACAATTCCAGCATCACCGCCAGCATCACCGACGGCAGCTCTAGCCTCCAGATGGGAGATTCCTCAATCGGAGCTTCCACAGCAGTAATCTGCACCCGGCCGCGATATTCCCATGTCGTTGGGACAATGTGGACATTCTTGAGGTCCATTGCAGTCCTCCATACCTCCTCGAATGGTCCTTCCGGCACAAAGACCGTGATCGAGAAATCCAGGTGCGGTTCTACGGCCTTGGCGAGGTCGGTTAGGAACACGAAGTCAGACCAGGTGTTTTTTGAGGCTTTCAACCTCAGCTGGATGGTCTTGTTGTGTCGAGCTTGTAGAACTGTGTAGGACAGGAAGCGTTTGAATGCCGGCGCCCGGGATATGCCAAGAATCCTGTCTAGTTTGGACCCTGAAGGGACGGCCCGGGAAGGGGTTTTCGCGGAGAGGTACGGGGTAGTGATTTTGACTGGTGCCCTGGGGTTAGCTACACTTCGCCGCTGGTCGGAAGCTATCTGGAAGTCGAGGCCCCTAAGAGTACATGCGATTGCGAACCATGCAGGAAATCGGCGAAGCGTGGAAGGCTGTGCATTCGACATATCGAAGGTCAAAGCGACTGGCACTCGTGGGCGTCGGTGCTTTAGGTAGAGCTCGTATCGTGCCTCGTTGTGAATCTGGCGGCAGGTGAGACCAAGCGACAAGGGCAAAGTAATTCTGTCATAGCGAAGAGTGGTTCCGTCCATCGTTATGGGTTCTGTCGTTTCAGCCATGGCGAATTTGTAGATTGCAACCCGGACCTCCGGAGGCAGCGTCAAGAAGGGGAATTTGCCCATAGTGCGATGATTCCGGTACAGCTCCATTTCTCATTGCACATTGCAGCGATTACCTATGTGTATTCTCACTGAGTTTGTCTCATGTTTGCTGTCGATGTTCACTACAATGTATTCTTTGACGCCTTGCTTGCTAACAAACTTTGAGCCGCTTGTCCATTTGTGTCCGTGCATGCTTCCTCTATTATTAACAAATCACTCAAACCAAGACAACGTTTGCTAAAATGTATTCCTGAACCAGCGGATGCAAACCGATCATACTGAATCTTTGTAGCCGTCTTGTGACATCCTCGACAGAGGATTGAAGGTTGGGCATATCCGCGTCAGAGAGCCGAATAGAATGCACAGTTGTCTAGATAAAGGTCAACAGGAAAGAGCCAGAAACGCCTTAATAGCTGAGTCCTCGTCTCTCTTACCCATCACTTATCAAATCACAAGGATTCTTCGCGACATGGTGGGAAGAGACTAGTAATAAGTGCGGTCAGTAATGTTCATTCAACCAACCTCCTCACCTTGATGACCGATGCACTAGGCTCAAAAGCCTCTTAGTCACGAGAGGTAGGGGCTGGAATATTCAAGGACGAAGCTTTGACAATCACTCCTCTCTGAGAAACGTTCTGAAGAAGTGATTGCACTTCAATCGAGACAAGGGAGGATGATAGAAATAGAGGGACGTTCGCAGCCTTCATTTATCGATACCGCAGCAAAACCTACAAAACTGCTCGCAAGCGGAAACATCGCACCGTGCATGCTCTTCTGACACTCATCCTAGCCTAAGCGCTCTCAAGACTTGATATTTCATCCCCCTGAGGTCTCCTTTACGGCTCAAAGATTTCACAATGTCTTTCAAGGATTGTGTCCATGCCAAGGAGCATCGTCAGAGCACCACGATTGTGGTATAGCGTCATACAGCTTGAGTTCGTGAAGCGTTGGAATGAAGTACCAATCATTAGATCGATACTCCCAGTCGGTTTTCCAGAAGTTGACCAGCGTCCCGCAACCCACGGAGCATTGACGTGGAAAGGCAGCGTGGGAATATAACCCGACGTACACCTTCGGGTGGACTCGATTCAAATCCATGCGATCCCTATGTATGTCTTTGTGGCCGTCCACCGTTTGTACGTCCCCCAAGCCAAACAGATTGTGATTTTTGTGCCGTCGGAAAATTACTCCTGAGCGTAGCCACCAATCCTCTCCTGGGACACTACCGACTGTTAGTGGAGGTTTGATTGTGATTGGGACGAACAGTGCAGCTCACGCTCTTGAAAACCCTACAGACACCCCCTGCCAATCAGGCTGACGCCCCGCGGATAAATTACCATCGTGCACATAGTATACTCCGTAGTCGATACGCCATTCATCGTTGCAGTACGTTGTGGATGTCCAGACAGGAAATAGGTCCCCAAGAGAAAGATCTGCGCGTGCATGTTAGTGTTGATTTGAGTGAACACAATCATGAGAAATTCACCACCATGATATGGGCCAACGTTTGTGCAATCTGCACCTGGGTCGATGAACAGGGGAACTCTCTGACCTGGATTGGGACGATCCCCGCGCCTGTTCATGGCTCCTTCAGGGTAACAGGTTTGTTGAGTTTTATCGATCCGTGCAAACAGGAACACTGGAGCATGCACAGTCGCCGGAGGGGCATCGTTCAACAGGCTAGCGCGCACTATCTCGTCGTAGTATTCAAAAGCTATCCCATGGTGAGCTCGTTCATCCATATTGGGCGGACGGGTGGGGACCATTGGGGCTGCGCGATCTCTATTGTGGAACTGCTGTCGATGGGATTGCATGACGGCTGCTGCGCAGAGGAGGAACACAAGGGAGAATGACAGCCGAGCCATGTCTATGGAGATGCATTCGCGGTCAACTTAGAGGAAGAATAAATGTTTTAGTTGCGTCTTACTCTTAGATCATGCGAAGATGTGAAATAGACCCATGTCAAAGTAGACCCAAAGGACTGCAATAAATTGCGAATCGGGTGCTTCTATACACAGTGAAAAGCCGGACCTGGTCATTTGCGCCTGATTGTAAGACAGTGCGCAATTGTGATGAACCTGCGACTCGTTGCCACGCGCATAACCTTCATCAGGGACTTTTACAAGTTGGTTGCTACAGTGAGGGCTACGTACGCATTTCTTCACTTGTCACGAAGTACAAGCGAACCCGTTCGGAGGTCACATTCACACCCGGGAGCTTGTGCTCAAATCGCACTAGCGTGGTACAAATATTACCTCAACGATCAAGTCTTGCTCATCAACCCTTCCGCACCAACCCCGAAAATCTCCACAGCGACCAGTCTTCTCTACTCTTGAGGTGCATGTTCCAACAACGAGTAGCCATGTGTCGACATCAGCGATCCACGTCAAGCCTTACAGTCTTCGTTTGTGAGGTACTCACACTCCTCTTCACGGCGACTACTTTTGCTCTCGCTATCGCATATGGTATGCAGCTTGCGCGCGCACCAATCGATCCAGGCGTTCTAGCCATATCTCCTACGAAAGGGTCAGGGTGCTACACCAAGTTCATGTAGTCGCAAAGCGCTGAAACAAATAGAACACTCGTGCCTACATATGCCCTTCCACCCTGCATTGGGATGTTAGCGTCTGTTTCGATACTCAGTCTAGGGTTTCCGGGACTCACAGTGCCGGCTCGTCGCATCCTAGTCAGTGGATTGCTTGCTGTGGGATGGCTGGTGACGGATGTGCTCTGGAGTCACTGTCTCACTTCCACGGGCCCGGACGACGCTTCCTGGCACAATGGTAATACCAAGTCCAAATGCGGTCCTCAAACGCTCACCACTAGAAACAGTCTGCTATCAAGCCAACCTGATCCTGGATCCTTTGCGGAACATCGTTGGCATCAACAAGCACCTGGGAACTGCCCTTGTTGCCATGGCTGCTCTTGTCATTGCAATGTGAGAATCGGCGAGCTACACAGGCTCAAATTCTGATGATGATCTAGGCATCTTACCAACATGACATTTGCAACACGCGAGTACTTCGTGCGGAAAAGCCAAATAGTCCAGAGGCGTGAGTCAACGTGGCTTCGATGATCGGAGAGCACTTTGCACATGGAGTCATCAGCCAGTCGTGAGGCCGAGACGCCGTCGCACGATTGATCTGAATGCGCCTTGGGAAACAGCCAGAAATTGGTAAAGACGAGGAGAAATGAAAGAGGGACGGGAAGACTGCGGGAACTGTACTCATTGCCTCTGCTCATTGCCTTGTCTTTCAAGGTTTGATACTCGGAGGGCGTGCCAGTCAAAATGCATACACCCAGTCCACAAGAAACACAGAATATCCGGATCATTGTCACCATCAATGCTTTGGTTTTCTTGGTCAGCGGCCGTATTCAGTACTCTGTAAATGCGAGCAGCCTTTCACACCTGTCAGACTACCGTTTGGACTTGCATGATTGGAGAAAGCATTCGTGCACAAGGGTATAGACGCAATGTTTGCCCGCACACGTTAGAACTTCATACGGGGCAGGTGTTGGCTGACCCGTCACGAATGCCTCCGATGTGAGAGGGCGTGGGTACGGCTCGGAGACGGCATAGTCTTCGCGCAGCGGCCAGTCACAATTTCTCCCACATTTGGTGTCAAAATTTGCGCTAGCTCAGGTAAATCCGTGGTCAAGTCAGCCGCACAGTTGCGTATCGTCACTCAGGTGCACGGCCGGCCTATCGAGCTGATGACCGCCGTATTCAAGAACACGCGCCAATCACAGCACTGCACCGTAGCTTCCGTCTGTCGGCCACACTGGCTGCTCTATTTTTGGCTACTACCAACTCAATACCTGGGTGCCAGGGACGACGGCGACCCCACTTTCCCGACAGCAAAGACTGATGCCAGCCAGCGTCACCCCGCGTTCAATTTCACCCTAGACGGCAACCATTGCGCACCCTCAATGCACATTTCAATCGCGAGGTGACGGGTCAAGATCCTTGCCCCTGCTATCTTACCGGCCAATGTCTGCATTTGTCCTTGCGGCTGCTCGATAGACGTTGCATGTATCACCACAAGGCAGCGAGCCGCTATGCCTATCTGGGCAGCTATCCACTCCCCCTTTCTATCTGTACGCATTCAGTCGTTGCCTTTTGATTACGCTTATAGCATAGGTATTTGCTAAATGTAAACTAGCTGCTTTGCCCCGCATATCAGAGCAATTAGATTATACACTCCTGCATCACCCAAACGCAGAGCAAGTCCATCTCACACACTGCGTACGTCCTGTCGTACCCGACCGGAAACGAATCTTTACTCAGAATCAGGTGTCGCGACGCTGTCAGCACTCGGTACCGCACGCAACATCTTCGAGTCCAAACCATCGCCTTCGCCGGATTCTCCGTCCATGGACCCACCACGGAACAGGGCGAATTGGGTGCACAATCTCCACCAAGCACTCATTGAAAGGATGCCAGATTTGCTGTCACCACCTACATCCTGGGCCGCAAGCTGCTTGATAGCTGCCACTGGCTGGAAGGAGCCCGCTTTCCGGCAGAGGATTGCCCCCGGCTCAGCAAAAACATTGCCTTTGCAGATGAAGGGAGGAAGGCATTCATACATCATGGGGTGGTGGCTGCCTTGGATTTCAACAAGTTGTTCGGCACAACAGTCAGTTGTGGCTGATTGCATAAGACTCTGAAGGAGAGTCAGCTGACTGGACTATGCCCGGACGATGATGACTACAATTCCTGTCGGACACTGCTCTTTTTACACTGTCCCTGCTCATCATTGTCTCGTGAAGACGCGGCCAAGCATTGTTGCCGCCAGCGCACCGCAATTTCTGGAATGCCGAGAAGTCACAAGCCCGCATGTCACAGTAGCAAGCGCTTCCGCTGTACCTAATAGACACCATGCGCGCGCACGTACCTGTAAAGATGCCTTGAACTGTGCCCCAACCGCAGAGGCGTAGGGAAAGCGTTTCGCTACGCACCACAACCGCTCAATAGCACAACCCATACTCTCTGCCCGCTCGAGGTCATCAGGTCGCCGAGATCGCTACGGCGGTGGCAGAGGTCGTGACGACCGTGACCGTGCTCGAGATAGGCGTGACGACCGCCGTGACGACCGCCGCAATGACCGTCTAGATTACCGCTGAGACGACCATTCCCAGTGCCGATCAGGCCCTGCACTCGATCAAGCGTGGAACAAGACTATCAAAACCATAGGAAACATGGACATAAAAGACAATTCCAAGATGAAGAGCTTGGAGAATGCATCTCCGCCATTGAGTTCCGGACTGACAGACCGGTCTCGCAGCCTGAACGAGCGTACTAGCCGCTCCCTCACTCGAATATCATGGACAATGGCCCCGTGCTCGACGGACGAGATCCGCTTTTCGAATTTGGCTAAAAGCAACCTCACCCGAGTATTACTCTGGCGGTCTGATGTAGGTGTTTGCAGCAAGACTACTGCCGCCTATCTTTTCCATGCCCTTGATATCGTCTTCACGGACAGACTTCCATACGTATTGGGCTCTGAAGCAGAGCAGGCCCCGAGGCAGGTTCGACTTAGCGTCTCTTGAGTCTTTTCCCTCCCCAACTCCATATGATCTCTGCCCTTTGTAATCCTTATTCGGTGTTTCCTGTTTTGCCATCCTTCCAACGTCGCCGTCAACGAAGCATGGGAGCGCGCTATGCCCGAGTTGTGATGCGCTCCCACGTGATTACTGTGACGTACCAAGTTAGGCAGATCCACGCTAAACTAGCGTCTCATTTGATGCCAATATCTGCCCTGACTTCACCTTCGGATCCAGCAACCTTGTACGTTTGTAAAGCTAACCTCCTTTTACCGCGCTTGCTTCAAGCCACTCTCGAACATGAGCATCCCCGAGTCACGATCTCTGCAGTATAGTTCGTTAAGGTAGGTTTCCATTGCTTTCAAATCTTTCATTTGCAGCATCCCTGATCATGTCCACAGCTGCGATGAGGCCAACGCAATTATTCATTGGCGGCGCAACATTGACCAAACCATTACCTGCATGCCAACGAGCCAAACAGACGGGGCCAGGGTTATCGGGGCGAGCGAGTTCCCTCCGACGGCTCCCAAGGATTTGTCAAAAGCGAGTATTGAGAACTGCGCCCATGCGACCCCCGAGGCCATCGAGGCAGAAAAGGTGGCGCACTCTGACGTCTTATCTACGAACAGAAACCCAAGAAGGACAACGAAGCAACTCCAACCCGTCCCGCAACTCTTTTACATCAAGACTTACCGGGGCATGTCAGGAGACGCGGAGCTTTCCGAGGAGTCATGGACCGAGGACCACCACCGCATCCAATTCAAGTTCCGCTAAGCGCAGCTACCTGACGTTGACAACTTGATTGCTGCGTTTCGAGACTCAGATCGAGACATTCCAACATGCAGTATCTTGCGCATGACCAAGAGGCGTCACATACTTCATGAGAGAGGCCTGTACGCGCTGCGAGCGCAGATGGTGTACAGTATCGATAGGCCTGATTTATCTGCTACCGACGACACTGCAGCAACAAGCTATGTTTAATGAATTCATGGGTGGATAAGTTTGCTCCGCTGACATGGACGTGCGAGACAGCCATGGAGAAATGGGAGTAAACCAGGGTATGGATTTGATTCAACCTACACTTTTCCACGTGATCTCTGCTCTTCGTCTTTGAATATGCCTGTTTATAATCCTATCCTTCTAACTCGTCGATAAAATCCCAATTGAGTGCCGGATAAACCTGCGCCAAGTTAGCGCGTTGTTCGCCACAACGCCAAGTTCACCTTCACCGAGGAATTGGGCACGTTACACCCGCGTGACTACCGCTTAGCCCTGCTTGCTCAATCTTTTGCGACTGAGCAAGACGGCCACCAGCAACCAACCCATACACAACCGCAGCGGTCCTACCAGATCGTGCCCGCCTCTGTCTTCACAATGAGGTAAACTTGCGCCAATGGTGTGCGTTGCCCTCGCAAATATCTGACGCAATTCGCAGCAAGAGCATCGCGACCTGGCTACTGGAAATCGATAGCGACGTGGGCGAGCCGCCTTTGGTCCAGCCTCCCTCCACTGAGATGGATCGCGCTCCCACCATGCCACTCACCCGCAAGAACCTGACGGCTTGGCTGGAATCAAATGGCTTCGTCCAGCGCCAGTCCAGTACCAAACGGCGCAAGGCGGGCTTCGCACTGACATGGTCCAATCCCGACGCGGAGCCAGAAGATGAAGACTGGGACATTCTGTTCGTGGATGGTGTCGTTGGTCGCACGCAGAAGATCACCAAGACTGCAGACACCAATATCAAGAACGTGTACCCGGCGGACCAGACGGCAACGGCTAAGATGTGCGTCGCATGCACGGCGCAGGCCCTCGCCGCGAAAGAAAGAGTCACGGCATCGCAGAGCCTCAAGGTGGATCAGACCTTGTCCGACGACGGTTCATATCTGCTCTATCGCGAAAGGACCACCACCGCGCCCGGCGTTCCATTCCGTGAGTTTCCGCGCGTCAAGACCAATGGCGACGTCTCAGACCAACCAGTGTTCCGGCCAGACAAAGTCATGCGTCCCAGGAGCGTCCCCGAAGCTGCCTAAACCAGCGGTGATGGAACAAACGACCACGGTTCGAAAGTCTATGCCGAATCTTCCGCGTCGCTGGCACAGGCTTGGGCAGGCGACATCAACAGGTGGTGGATAGGATGTGTCCAGACGAATTGCGTTGATCAGTTGGGATATGAGGCAGATACCGCAAGGACCATGAGTAGTCTCGGGTACCTATTATACGTTTGAGGAATACGTTTGAGGAGAATGGGAGCTGTGAAGTAACATAACCGTTCCGCTGAAAAATGTCTCGTTCAACCATTACTGCTTCTTGTCTGCTATTCTCGTGATTTGTACCGCCGCTGCACTGGATGGTCGTCTGCAGTCCTTCTCTCTCTCCGGACCGCTCCTGCCTGGACTCTACTTGTCGGACACGCATTTGCGACCAGTTTCATACTGACTGGAGCCCGCTTGCGACCTGACCGCAGCACTTGTTTCCAGCTAGCCTGCGGTATTGATGCTCTTGAGTATTCCAAAGCTTAATAGGGCACGTGGTGTCGCCGTGTTGTGTATCGTTCGCTTTGTGCTCACACACGATGTGAGCGGCGCGCTATCTGGAGTAAGCGTTTCTGGGTAAAGATCCATGGGACTTGGTGTGTTCTCTTCATATAGACAGGTGTGAGTTGTTCGTGGGTAGCAGATCTCAGGATCATGGGGATGATGATGAGCGCGACTTCCTTGATGTGAAGACCATGGGTGTTGACAACCCGATTTGCAGAGACGTGTCTTTCTTGTAGGACAGTACGGTTTACTAGCTTCTACACCTACCTGATCGCTGTTCTTTACATCCAACCTCGATGCTCGAACGTGTTATCGTTAATGAAGATTCGCAGGTACCATCTTTGGTCAAGAGCATGTCGGCCGTTGCACAAGCAACACGGTCTAGGTCAGAGGCCATCATTCTTTCCGGAACATCTTAGTTCTGCACGCAGACTCCAGCAGTCAGATGTCGACTTCCCGTTGTCGGCCGGCAGGAGCAAAGTGGAGAAATGGATCGCTTTACCAACTCACTGTCGTCAATCGGATCGCGGAAACCGCCTGGACTATCGCTTGAGAGATGCATTCGGTCTTTGATAAAGCAGAAGCATAGATCCACTGCTCACACCCGGCCGGATCGTGCGCGCCAGTCGAAGCATCGACACATGGATACAGGGTTGGTCCTCTGGGGCGTTCGGGTCACTGATATCACCCATGTAGCTTGATCACAACGCCACGACGACGAAGTACTTCGCTGATTGTAGGCAGCCATTGGCATGTACCCCGATGAACGAGACGCTCCTGTAGCTCATGAATTCAGAGGCAGGAGCATGGCTAGAGGCCGAAAGGTATCTCAAAACACAAAAGGCTCGGTGACAGCTTGGATACACTGTATGAAAATCGTAATTTAGAGTCTTGCTGTTCTACGTGATAGCTACAACAATATCTATTAACTTCGATTCACCAGTTGGATGTAGCCATTGTCAAAGATGTTGGTCGTGATGTCGTGATGTCGTAATGCGTAATCTCGTAATCTCGTATCGTCATGTCGACTCACAGTACAAGGAAACAAGGTCGATAAACAAATGGATAAACAAATGATGCTGCGCGAGCAGAAGACGCGTGAGAGTAGGGCGCGCCGAGGGCTATGACAGCGGTGTTGTTCCGTGTCCATGTCACTGCTCAAATCGTCAGGGTGGCCAATCTTGCGTCTCGGCCTCCAATTGTTTCCGCATGGCTTTCAGCTTGTGATACTTGGTCAGCTCAGATCGCTCGCTCCTCTCCGCCGGCAAACCGTCCGCGTCGGCCCGTTCAAGCTCGAGACGCAGACTTCATGTCGCCTAGTGGCTGCTCATTCGCGGTCGCGGCGTCGCGCTCGTATCGCTATGGCCTACCGTGTACCGTGTTGCGAAAGCCGGGCCTTGGTTGGGCAATGAGGTCGGTTTACAGCTTGATCTCTGTAGTCCATGGTGGTTTCACCTCCAGAATATGAATATTGCCGTCAAGACGTTGCATGTAGGCTGGTCGATGGGATTCCCGGGGCCGCAAGAAGCTGGTCGACGGGGCGGGCGTCCATTCGATCCGGTCCTGGACGTCAACCACCTTCTTTTCTGCCTCCCCCACAGCCTCCAAAGCGGCCTCCGCGGCCATGTGTGCTTCTTCCAACTCGTCCTGCAGCTCATTGTATGTTTGCGCGACGAGAGAGTGCTTGTCTGAGCTCACGGCGCCGCAGGTATCGGACCCGGGGGATTCGGCGCGCGTGTCAGGGCAATGCGTCGGAGGACGGGGTGCGGCTGCGCGGCCGCGGGCTGTCGAGGTGCGGGCTATGGGTGGAAAGTGCGGTGGTTCTGTGGGCGTGCCGGTGCAGGCCTGGCGGTCGCCGTGCCAGTTGGTGTGTTCGCTGTTGCGGGACTTGCTTGGGCTGAGAGAAGCGGATCGGTGCCTCAATCCTCGAGAGAGCGGCGTGCTGTTGCTGTTTGCGAGAGTGGAGCTTCCTGGAGCGTTTCGTCATCCCAGTTGGGTAGCGACGATGGAGCTCTTGGCGTAGATGGAGTGGACTGTTCCGCCACGGCAGCTCAGGCGAAGGCATGTCGACTTTCGGCTTCTTACGCGCCGGCTGCGCATCTGATCGACCTTGGCTGAAAGCTCTTGACCGCCGGCTCTGTGCGTGGCTGCATCTTCTACCCCCCGGTGTAGGGGTGCGCCTTCAGTGAGTTCATGGCGAGGTCCACGTCGGCATTCTGTAGACATTGGTCGCCCAGAGTAAAAGATGCGGGGCGGATCCGATTGCTCTGCAGCGCATGGCGAAGGCCTCTGGCAGCGTCGTCGGGGGTGTGTGTTTTGGCAAGTTTGGGCAAGTGCAACAGGAGGCACCGTGGGAACAGTGACTCAGTGGCTCTGTGCTCGTTCAACTGGTACCAGGGTCATGGCCCCAGTACTTGCGGACGTCGCGGCGGTCTTTTTCGAAAGCAGATTCGAGGATGCGACGTGTATGTGCAAAAATTCCTCAGGACAAGTATCCACCTCTTCCTCCATGCCGAGTATGTACGCAGACACCCCGAACCAATCCGTGTTAGCCGCATCGCGGCGTCCCTGGTTGAACTGCCTCTTTCGCACCCTTCGGCAGTCCTGGTGGGATGGAAGGCCACTGTCGCCATTCTGGTGGCGGACTGGACTGTGGCGGCTGTTGTGTAACATTGAACACAGTCTTCTCCAGGCCTGAACCCGAGTTGGAGACTCACCTACAGTGGGATTCGGAAGCAGTTTGGATCATCCCCGCTTTGCTTTTCTGAGTGACAAGGTATCAAACAAGGGTACAAGTATTGGTGTCTGAATGTATTCCCGTTCGTTGGATCTTCTCCTTCTCATTGCAGGCATACGTGGGCCGCAAGATATTGCCTCCTGTGCATACGAACAAGAATTACCAATTCGCAGAGCGGGCAACGACAACGTATCTCAACCTTTTCATAGATCTGCTGCTGCTTCATCTTGTATATTGCACAATGCACCAAGAAGCAACTCGTGTTCCGACTTGTACGTCCCGATCAGGTGTAGCGCGGGCTCCTTAGCGCCTTGGCAAGCGGAAGCACTTTGGCTTGATCAAATCGAACTCTTGACTTGTAACTTACACCCTTTCCATGCATCCCATCCACGCTTCGACGCCAGACGACGCAGGCGAATCCGCGTGGAACTCATTTTGAGTCCTGCGCCTACCGACTCGATTCATTCCTTGCCTTTGCTAGTAGGTTTGTCTCGTGTAGCAAACACTCGGTTACAAGGCGTCTTTGTTACTAGCAAACATCATCCAGATACTTATTGCGTGTCTCCCAACGATTCAACTCCACCATCACATCGATTCTATATATCACCATTACAACTATTCTATATACTTCAGGGCTTCTATATATCAACATCTCCGCATCGTCCGTTCATATCCCAACCATGTCAATGAACACCTGTAACCTTTTCCCCACGCTGAGGACACAGTGTGGTGAGCCCACAGTGCCGCCCAACCATTGTACCAATACTATGGCATGTCTTGACACGACGCCTCTACCTATATCTACCCCATACTCTCCCAATGTATACTTTATATCCTCTCAAACGCATCAACATCGCTCATCACCACTGTTCATTGCAACTACTTTCGAGCCCTCACTACTGTCATATCCTCGCCAGTGTCGAATCCTCAATCCACTCCAGGAACATCAACTCCACGCAGTCGCATCAACTACCACCACTCCAGACGACATGGAAGCCACACCCAAGCTGACTCCCAACCCTGATATGTCTGAGACAGTCATGGAAGGACTCACGCCAATCCCGACCACGGCCCAAGAACATCAACCCCACGCAGCCTCAACAACCACCACCATTCCAGACGACATGACAGCCACACCCACGCTGACTCCCAACCCTGGCATGTCTGAGACAGTCATGGAAGGACTCACGCCAATCCCGACCACGGCCCAAGAACATCAACCCCACGCAGCCTCAACAACCACCACCATTCCAGACGACATGACAGCCACACCCACGCTGACTCCCAACCCTGGCATGTCCGAGACAGTCATGGAAGAGCCGATTCCAGATCCCACCACGGCCCAAACTCTCGCAAAGAAGACATGGAGCAAGCAAGACATGATCTGTCTTGCTGCATTGATCTTCTGCATACCGATCCATATGTGCCGACACTTCGGCTTGGATCGTGATAGGTTTTATGACATCTCCCTGGTCATCGCGGGGTGTGTCTTGATCTTTGCGACGACTATACATTTCCTGGACATACCCGCCACCCGACTAAACAACATGGAGCCGTGGCTGGAGGTACTTCGCCGCAACATTCCCCGCGCCACGAGTGTGCTTGAGAGCCACTTCCTCGCCATGTTGGGTCGCCAACTTCTGCTGCGTTTGATGTTCGTCGTCCAATACCTTTTCTACATTCCGAACGGCCCATCTTGGGAAGCTTTGAACGTGGCTATGGCTGACTGGCCAGTCACTAGAGGCTTCTTCAACGGATACCCATGGGCGTTATTTCTCATCATATTGCTCTGCATCACCAAGGATGCCTGGTGGAAGCCGACAACTATGATCTTCCGACGCAACATCATTGAGCCGTATGGTCGACTGTGCGCCTTCGTCACTATGGCGTTGCCATTGATACAGGATACTGTGCGCCACAACGTGGATCAGGCTTGTCTGGCTGTGCGCCACAACGTGAACCAGGCTTGTCTGGCTGTGCACAACAACGTGAGCCAGGCTTGTCTGGCTGTGCGCCACAACGTGAACCAGGCTTGGTTGGCTATGCTCCACAACGCGGACCAGGCTCGTTTGGCTGTGCGCCACAACAAGAACCAGGCTTGTTTGGCCATACGCGAATATGCTCAAGCCAAGTGGGCATCATTGTGCCGTCGCTGCAGCATCGTCTGGGACCGCGCATGCGGCTATACTCGCGACATCCGGTCATTTGGCCACGCATCCATCCTTCGTGCTTGGAGCAGCACCCGCCACATCTCTCATGCTGCCCGCTGGTTCGCGATCACCACGGCCGGATGCACTCGCGCTGGTTGCCTCACCCTCTGGAACTTGCCTGCGCGGGTACGAGACGCGGGAGGCCTACAGGAGTTTGCAGTGGCTTTGAAGAATGGACTCGTCGCCTTGGATTGGTTTCACGTGGCTCGCATCGTGCTCTGCGTCATGGTATGGCCTGCGTTCCTGTGTCTGGCACACATGAACGATTCATCCGTATGCAACACGATTGGTTTTGCGATAGCATGCACGACTACTGTCCTCGTCTCCCAGGGTCCTCTACACTGGACATCTTCGTTGGCCTTGGGTGAGCAGGATAGGGCTTCATGATCTGGTGGTACGTTGGCAGAACTTCGTCGTCTGGAAGATAGCGCTACCAAGTCTGCAGCTACCGTCCAAGACTTGAAGGATGCAAACCAAGATTCCGCAGATGGATTCTCTGCAGAAATCATTGATCTCCAGCGCACACGAACACGAGCCTCCAGAGCAACAAAGCGTATCTGACTACTCGGAACGAGCAGCTAGCCAACGACGCAACACAGGCAAAGGTTGCTTTGTTGGCTTGCTCCATTTGGAAAGACTGCACCGTTACGACGTAAGTAGTCTCTTGTATAGGGATCTCAAAGAGCAGTTCTTCTTTCTCATGAATAGCTTCATCTCGATGGTTCGCTTCGCGGTTTCATTTTGCCTTTTATAAGAACCAAGAACTGCTGTTCAGGATGATCTTGCAAGACACAACGTACGTGGTCGCTGCAGACGAGAAAGTTGCACCGCTTTCTTCGGTGCTGCAAGGTGCATTCCAGGGGTGCTCAAACTGGCAAGCGGATTCTGGGTCGAGCAAAGCTTCGACTTATTCTTAAATTCTAGTTTTCTTAAAATGCTCGCTGCATACGTTTTACTTACTCGACAGTATCCTATCTAGTGCAGCATTGTGGTCGTGCTGTACTATGGGCGTGCAGGAGCATGATAACTGCCGGAGCAGTCAGATACGCTTTGTTGCTCTGGAGGCTCGTGTTCATGCAACTTTATAGAATAAAATCATTACATTACTAAAATCATGCTTATGAAAAGACCACTCCAAATTGTGCACAGTGCGTTCGTCGAGGCGGCATGTTTACGTTGCAAGCGCCTGTACCATGTGTTTCGTCCGAAGGCCTCGCCTGGATGACATGGTAGAACGTGACGAAACTTCAGTATAAAATGTCATTACAGTTTCTCTCATGATAGCCTTCTCCTCCTCATCAGACTGGCTTCAAGCCGACCTTCCAGACCAGTCTTCGCTCGCTGCATGTCGGACTTATGATCGCGTTGAATCATCGTGTTGTTTACCAAGGAGCATGCAAGGACTTGTTCCGCGAGATATCGCCCCTCTCCGTCCTACACCAGGTGGGTAGGGCTTCAAGTACAGTCCTGGTCTGCCTAAGCCATCGGTTGGTACTGCCCGGACTCTCACACTTTGCTTTTGGCTCGACGCCTCGACAGGGGCAGCTATGATGGCGGTCGACATGATTGTTTTGTGTATTGTGGTGATTGTATGTGTCTGAATTGTTGTAGCAGTGGTGGTGAGTTGATATTGCATGAGGGAGAAGAGATGTATTAAATGGGAAACGGGCAATGGTTTGCTCGCCACGCGAGTTCGTGACGGGCGATTGTTCGTGTCTCGTGGAACGTTCACGACACGTCTACATTCTTCCAGGCCAATCGGATTTGGTGCACTTGTTCAATTATGCCTGTGGTATTGCCATGTCTGCTCTGGTTTCGTTGGCAAATATCCCAGCACATTGATGCATCGGCGAATTCCTTCTTCTTAGTCATTCGCCAGCGCTTCTTCGCGCGTCTTACTGCACCTGTGCGTCGAGCCAACGATATAGACATCTTTGGTAGCTGGTCTTGTTCGCCTGTATCACACCAGAAACGGAGTCAAACTTTGAAGTCGAAGAAGCAGAGTATCCAAGATATGAATAACATATTTGAGGCGAGAATTCATATTTGTATCACTTTTGAGGAATATCAATCATGTAGGCCCTCGCCTGTTACAGCGAAATCACGAAAAGCGCTGTTTTCACTCCTCTACATTGCACAAGCAATGGAGTCTGATGCCATAATACTTTAGGTAAGTTGCTTTCACTACTCTGCAATCGATCGAGTGCATCGTGTGCAGTGTGTGAAACCAATGCAATATGATCTTTGCGCGTCAAAGACCCCTCGCAAGCGACCATCTTATCAATGTGAATTCGAAAAAAAACCCTAATAGAAGCGTCCACTTGATGATATTCGCCACTCCCTATATTTGCATACACCCAAGGCCCCAAAGCTTTACAGTAGCACAGGCATGCGCGAACCTTTCATCATCGTGAGCTGCTATTCACAGACCACATGCGAAGGTAGCTGAAGCCATCTCTAGGTGGCTTGCTATGAGTTGCGATATGAGAGTCGCGGCAGAACTGCGAGGCGCGCAGCTATCTGGAAGTGGTTGCCGCCACGCCTCTCGTCAGCAACACCACAATCAGCACCATCAAATAACACCTGCAGTGGTGGATATGATTTTTGTATCTACCGCTCGCTCCGCAAAACCAGCTCTCAAAGGTTTGCTCAACCCTCTCCTCTTTTGGTACTCACAATGCGCATCATGCCGGTGTGATCTCCATGCCCCGGGGTTCCTTGCGTATGTCACTCACGTGTTTAGCGCCGGCAGTGCGCTGTCTGACAAATGCTTTTCACGATCACTAATCAGCGTGTACGGCCTTGAATCGAAATTAATATCATTGCGATAGTTAAGAGAGGCTAAGAGACAGGCGCCGTTGCGTGCATGGCTTCTAGGAATTCATCGTGATGCCTCTTCGCCTCCGGCCGAACACTTTGACACGTTATCTCTTTGCAATGGGTCTGAAAGATCACAGCGCAGGATGTACCATGAGCCAGATGGTCTGGGGCTGTGGGTAGAAGGCGAATGCCAGGCATACTCAATCACATTCCCCTCGAAACGCTCTTGAGTCTTCTCTCTTCATCTCGTCACCATGTTGATGAAGCTTCCAACCCTGTAAGTGATCATAAAGTTTCAACCACCTGCCAAAAAATACCATGCCTGAATTCCTCTGCAAGTCTATCGCCAGGTCGGCGCCTAACCCTTTCAGCAATACGGGCGCCTGCGTTCTCGTCATAGCATAAGGCTTTGGGGGACATCTGACGCAAGCAGAGTGAATCCTGAAATCTAGCGTGTTTGTTCTATAAATCTCGAGTTTTTAGTGAATATGGAGCGTAACACTGATCGAGTCTATATCAGCACAAAACATAGCCTACGTTGTCTGTTTATTTCACACCACCATTCACGCACCCCCTGAGCAATGGCAATCTTAGGCAGTCTTGTACACATTCAGTGAATACTATCCTTATACGCCTAAAAAGTAGGTCACGGGATTGATTGTTGTACGTTAAGCCGGCGATAATCTATGTCTATACAATGCCCTTTCATCACTGTTTCCATTCATGTTATACAGATTGGCAGGATTCACTTTGCTCACTGACAATGCCCCTTCATAGGTAGGGTCTGCACTATTTAAGAAACTTTCCTGCTTCCTCTCCTCTTCTTCTTTACACACCAACACATTCCATCGAACAACAGGAAGATCTTTACACATCAACACATTCCATCAAACAACAGGAAGATCTTTACACACCAACACATTCCATCAAACAGCAGGAAGATCCAACATCTAAACCTTCTTTCTGTATCACTTACATCATCCACTTGTCCAGCACCGGCCATGTCTGATACTCAGTCCGCTACCTCTAGCCAGTCACCTGTTCTCTCCTTTGGGGAACAAGCTATAGAACTCTTCCAATCGCATTGGAAGACTCTTGAGCACGAGGCAAATCAGATCGAGAGCAATCTCGATGACAAGCGATCAGATATCAAGGACTTGGTAAACAAGGTTGAGAAACTAAACTCTGACTTCAAACAATTCACGTCGGAGCTTGAGGTTGAGAATGGTACCACGAACGTCTCAAATCTGCTCCAGCTTCGTGAGGATCATTCGAGTGCTAAGGAGAAGTTGCAGGCTGCTCGGAAAGCATACGGTGAGCTGGAGCTCGTCCGAGCGGAACTCCTCCAGAAACTTCGGCAACTAGCAATTGATACCCCAAAAGTATTAGTTGAATCGCGCGATCAAGAATGGGACCTGGAAGCCCTTCAGATACGATTGACTACAGCTGCGCAGTCTGACCATGTCGCCTGCTGCGCAAAGGCTGACATTAACGTCAACAATACACTATTCCGTCCGATAGAGGCGCGTGTGTATACGGGCAGTCGAGAAGGTGCAGGCAGTTGGAAGGACTGTACGCTGGTCCTGGAATGGTTCGCTTCGCGGTTTCATTTTGCCTTTTATAAGAACCAAAAACTGCTGTTCAGGATGACAGTACAAGACACAACGTACGTGGTCGCTGCAGACGAGAAATTCGATATACCGGTGTCGAAGCTCCCCACTCGTCGAGTCCGGGGGGCATATTCAAAGCTCATTATCGACTATGTTCTTCCATCTGGGGACTCTATTGAGATAGATCACGGTTACGAACGCGAAATCCTGGATATCCTCCCAATTATCACAAAGGCACAGGGCGAAGGCCGGTGCACTGCCTGCGAGGAGGATTAGGACGATAAATCGCAGTAGGTCCCGCGATATCGAGTAGGAGAACACACAAGACTAGTTTCTTAGAGGTGTGTGAGTTTATGGTCGAGCTTGAATTGGTGGTTTCCATTGGATCTTGTTAGAAGAACCAATTGGACTGTTTTGTTGCGATTGCGCTTGTCATTTAGTTGATTGGGTCTTGTTAGAAGAACCAATTGGACCGTTTTGTTGCGATTGCGCTAGAATGTTATTAAGTTGTTGTCAACCATTTTCGATACAATATGGGAGTTTACAAGTGGCGACTGTGATGGCTTTTCACCTACTCTGACACTTGTGCCAAATACCTAGCGCCACTAATCCTAATGTCGATGAAACTTTCACGTTGCGTTCTTGATAGGGTAGGTTCAACTAGAGTCTCTGAATTTACATTTGTATTACTCTAAATTCACTGCAAAAGATGGCAGACTAGAGTCTACCTCCTGGATTGTACAAGGTGACATTGTGTATCTGAGAATGAACCAAACTGAGACAAGAGACACCTCAGTACCATGAGGCTATATCTTCTCAATGTGACAGTATATCGAAACATGGAACAAACACCAACTCTTCTATGCTGCTCTAAAGTGACCAAGAACAGAAGCTATAATCAATTGATTCTTCGTCAGTCTACCCCGTAATATTCCCGCTACCTATCACCCCTCTATCCATGCGCCATCAAATCCATCTTGAATGCGAATGCATTGCAACGTACTCGGAGCAAGAGTCTGACATAGCCGAACGTGACTCAAGCTCTCTCCCAGCATACATGTATCGAATGTTCGTGTCTGTCATCCAGGTGATCCAAGTGACGGTAAAGCTAGACCAGTTTCGAACAAAGTAGATGTGGTATGTGCGTTCATGGTCTCCGACATACACGGTGACATGTTCGTGTGTGTACTTTGTAGTAAAATGCTGCAGAAATCGACTCCAGCCTGATGTAGATCTGTGGGGAGGTGCACTAGATGCATGATATGATTAGCACAAAGTACAAGTGGACATGCGAAAGTTCTAGAGAGGTAGCTTACACAATCGTGACGAATTTTGCTGTCCCGTTCTCTGGTTCTGGCAAATGGATGAGCGGGCTGAGAAGACTCTCCGTCAGTCTTTTGATGTCCATCTCGTCACTTCCATCGTATCGACAGTTGAGTTGCAGAAGATCCTGGGCTTTGTGTGTCCATTGAACCGAACAGGAGTGAATTTGGCCAGTCCATTCCGTCGGAGGAAGACATTCCCCTGCGTCGATGGTCCCCCTCCAGTTGATTTTGCAGTCCTCGTCTAGCACCTCCTTGCGGGTAAGATGTTTGAGATAGGGCATCGGTACTCTGTGCGGCCCAGGTGGAGATGAGTTGAAATCAGAGATGCAACGAAACTCTGCCAGCACTATGTATGAGAATATCCAGTTGTCTTAGATAGTTTGCATGTTCCACCCATTTCATTGCTACGTCCAGAGACATGACCTGTTCGCCAATACAGTTTGTTCGTTTCTTTGAGCGCACTGAGACATAAGCCGCCACTGAGACAAGAATCTTCGGTAAGTGCGAAGGAACCAAGAGGAAGCTTCTGCGAAATGTTGCCGGACAAGCCTCCAGCGGACCCATGGCGATATTGGCGGATTTGAGATTCATTGGTAATGTTGCACCCAAGTTCCTGATCATGTACGAAAAGGATTATGCTCTTGTTCGTATATCTGTGAAGCGATGTAAGTATTGTACTGCACGCAGCGAGAACTCGTACAAGGCTGAAGACCTCGGGAGGGACACATACTGTGGTTTGCACCCTGATCATTTGAATCACACATGGGGAAATCTGCCATCTGTGTGATAGCTATCACTGTGTGATGTTGGCAGTCAAATTCTGCATCGGTGGCTCGCATGACAACGACACGCCCTCAGGAACACTAACATGTCGCCACATAGTCGGGTAAACTTTCTAGTTGCAGTATACTTGCACGCAAGCATTTTATCTTCCGCGAGCATGTCCATTTCGGGAACTGAATGTAAGTTCTGGCCCTTAAAGGAAGCCATATTGCGTGACACAAGGGCCATGCCCTCGTCAGCCATTATTCTGAACCAACTACCATCAGAATCACCTGCGCGCCTGAAGCTCGGGATCAGTACGATTGAGACAATGCATCGCGCCTCTGAAAGCGGGTGGATCTGGTGAGCAGTTGAGAGTTGGGGAAGTGTCTAAACTGCGTCCCTGGATCCTAATTCGTGCTATCGCCGCAATCTGAACAGACGAAGAAACACATCTTCATAGTGTCTTGAACCGCGAAGTTCTGGCTAG